TGTCCCTGTTATGTCACTGATCTGCTGCTATTGTCTCTGTTTATGTCACTGACCTGCTGCTGTCCCCCTGTTTATATCACTGATCTGTTAATGTCACTGATCTGTTTCTGTTCCCCTTTTTATGTCACTGAGTTGCTGTTGTTGTCCCTGTTTGTCACTGATCTGCTGCTATTGTCTCTGTTTGTCACTGATCTGCTGCTGTTGTCCCTGTTTATGTCACTGACCTGCTGCTGTTCCCCTGTTTATGTCACTGATATGGTGCTGGTCCCCTGTTTTATGTCACTAAGCTGCTGCTATTGTCCCTGTTTATGTCACTGAGCTGTTGCTGTTGTCCCTGTTTATGTCACATATCTGTTGCTGTTCCCTTCTTTATGTCACTGATCTGTAGCTGTTCACCTGTTAATGCCACTGATCTTCTGCTATCGTCCCTGTTTATGTAACTGATATGCTGCTGGTGTTCCTGTTCATATCACTGTTGCTGTTTCCCTGTTTATGTCACTGATCAGCTGCTGTTGTCCAATTTTATTTTCACTGATCTGCTGCTGTGTTCCTGTTAATGTCACTGATCTGTTGCTGTTTCCTATTTATATCACTGATATGTTGATGGACCCCTTTTTATGTAACTGATCTGTTACTATTGGCCTTGTTCATGTCACTGACCTGTTGCTGTTGTCCAATTTTATTTCACTAATCTGCTGCTGGTATTCCTGTTCATATCACTGATCTGTTTCTGTCCCCCTGTTTATGTCACTGATCTGCTGCTGTTGTTCCTACTCATTTCACTGATCTGTTGCTGTTCTCGTGTTTATGTCAGTGAGCTGCTACTGTTGTTCCTGTACTCATTGATCTGTTATTGATTATTATAAGAATTGTCGCTGATGTACAGAAATAACCGATTAGTGATAATGCAATAACATCAACAGAGGGTTAGAAATATCAATCGTGCCTGCGTTTTTGTGCTTTCAATGTAGAAGGGGTCATTTTCAAAAGTAGAGAATTTAATTGTTCGTTGATTCCTTCAACATAAAGCCGTCAAATAAATTTGTAGAACTGCTCTTTGAAATTCTTGCTCATAATATTTGCTCCTTTTTTATTTTCAAAGTTTTGAACTTGGTTGTCTTTGGTGAGTGGAATCTAGATGTAGACCTTGACTGATTAACCTATTGACCTATTTTGAACAAAGTTTCCAGTGAAACTAGTAAATCAATGAAAATAAAGTCATCAGATGCAAAATGTATTATGTGTTATCATCTCTTAAGCATTTAAAAGAGAATTTCGCCAGGTTAGCGATTCTTGCTCCTATGAGCCTCTAGTTTACGAAAATTAAGGTACTAACTTCCTCAACGAAATGTTGCCCCCAGTAGCACAGGGAACTCGGGACTGGACTTATCTCATTTGACTGTAGGATACCATGGTTAGGAATTAGACTCTGTTTTTTTTGGTCGGGTAGAATGCATTTATACACATGAAGTAATTCTTGTTGAAATAGAATAATTCGGTGTTTCATATCTGGGGGATAGGCCCTATAAAGCTTTCAGCAGGTTAAAATCTTGCACTAGTATTCAGAGCAGTAACGTGTCTCTCGGAGTGATAACGACCCTTGTTGCAGATTTCCATGCGGTATATATGTAGGTAGACAGTTTTAATACAAAATGTCTAACATTGTTTCATTTAATTACTACATTTTTTTCATGTGCAGTCAATATTTCCCGAGTTCTACCACTTGCCAAAACCTATTTAATTAGTTGTTCTAATGTACATATTGTTCTCTTTGTATATATTAATGAAATATTGACCACTTGAAGCTGAGAAAGCAACAATCAATCCCTTTTAAAATTATTGTTGTCTGCTATTTTTATTTATACTCACACACTCTACATTTTTTCCCCCATTTTCTTATTTTTTGGGTAGAAAAGTGTCTCGAATGCAACTAATTCTGTATTGATAATTACATCCATAATAAAGGTTATAGTTATTGTACAATTATCGAAATTGATGAATTATAGATGTAAATAAGCAAGGTGAGAAACAACCATCGCTTTAGAATATCGTGACCAAGTATTATTGAATCGTTTTGTGCTACATGTATATACATCGTAAAAACGTTGTTGAGGTGAAATGTCATTGGTACACTCTTAATTTATAAAAAAAAAAAGTTTTGCAGTACGTAAATTATGAGTAAACCGGAGATGATTGTTAAACGTTAATGAGACATAAGCCAAGGATGATAACTGAAACGTGTTCTATCGTCTGCAAGGATTTCAATTTAAACAAAATGCTTCGCCGAGCGCAGCCTGATACGACCGCAGAGGTCGAACCCTGAACAGTTGGGGCAAGTTTGGACACAATATTCAAGATTGATACTGTCTGAATTTGGATTGTGATCAAATTTTTGACATAATATAGGTTTCTGACACAAAATAAATGTGGTCAAAGATCTTAAAAATTTGAAATGGGACATTTAATTTACCTAGTATGGTCTGATATCCAAAACCTAACAACATGGTTAGATTCAGCATATAAAAATACACCAAAAATTTAATTTTAGTTGAAATCAACCCAAGTTTATTTTTGGACCCTTCAAACCTTAATATGGACTAATTTGAAAACAGGGCTCAAAATAAAAAATCTAAATGCACAATAAGATTCAGCATATCATAGAGCCGCAATAATTCATTTTTTGATGAAATCAAACAAAATTTAATTTTTTACCCTTTGGACCTCAATGTAGACCAATTTAAAAATGGGGCCCAATATCCAAAATAGTAATGCAAGGTTAGAACCCCCAAAAATTTAAGACTTAATTTAAACCCATTGAAATTGGTTAAAAGATTTGTATTTATTTTCAATTGAAAGTTTCTTGCTATTGCGCAATACCGTGACTGTGCTGTTGCACAATACTTAGTTAATCTGTTATATATAATAATTTACACTCCCTGTTTGGTGTGTATCTCCTGCCATATCAGTATTTGTTGCTTTTATATATAAATCAGAAATAATCAATGTAAAAATTATTACCCCCCCCCCCCCGCCCTAAAAAAAATTTGAAAAAAAATGAAATTTTGAAAAATCTTGAAAAAAAAATGTATGAACCAACCCCCAAATTTTTTTTTAAATTTTGAAGATTTTTTTCTATCAGGAAAAATGTACAATTTCATAGAGTTCCATAAACTAGAAACTAGAAAACAGGTGTTTTTAGCCCCTTTTTTGCCCTAATTTGTAAACATTTGGTGCAATTATCCCCAAACTCAATCCCAGCCTTCCCATTGAGATATGGAACCTTGTGGTACAATTTCAGAGAGATCAATACACTTTCACACAAGTTATTGTCCGGAAACTACAAAAATGCTTGTTTTTGGCCACTTTTTGGTCCCTAATTCCTAAACTGTTGGTACCATAACCCCCAAAATTAATCCTAACCTTCCTTTTGTGGTAAAATTTCATAGAGATCCATTCACTAAAGTTATTGTCCGGAAACCAAATGTGTCTTCGGACGACGACGACGGCATGATAGCATTATACGAACGCATTTTTTTTGCGGTCGTATAAAAATCATAAACTTTGCAAAACTTTTCTAAATGCACTCCGATTTTCCGAATGAATAAAAGACAGACGATTTTCAAAAATGATTTATACATCACCATAAACAGAACCTGAACTGCAAAAAAAAATCAAGTCAATTAGGAATGTATCTCAAATGAAGGTTGTGAATATATTTTGTCCCATATAAGATCATAAATTAGGCTCTAGAGAAATGCACTTTAAAAGGGATTTTAAAACAAACCATATTTTGCGTGTGACATAACGAGAGGATTTCTCGTGAGACTTCAGCTCACCAAAGACAGCACAAGAACAAAATGAACATCTATCAAATTTCAAGCTTCAGATGTCCGTCTTAATTTTTAAGTGATCAAACATATAGTATACATCCAAGGTTGCGTTTGAAACAAAGAATCAATAATTATGTGTAGCAGAGCAACATAGACTTCATTAGTTCTGCTTGAATTATAAAGAACTTCTGCAGAAATGTGTTAATTACTCTTGCAGGTGTCTCTGTTGTGATATTTTGGCATGTACTATGTCCACAAATACAGATGGTACACTGTAAAATACTGTCCCATGACATTTAATAAACTAGTTGTGTTGTATAACAGTCACAGGAGTCTATAACGGGCCAATTTACTGCATGGATGATAATGATTTTTATAAAATATCTTTAATGTTGAACTAAGAAAACAAAACATGATACATTTTCCCCATTTATTTTCGGAAATATTATAGAATGAATATTTAAAGTAGATGCATATTTTAATAGAATGGGAGTAGAATTTGCGAAAAAAACGGTGTTAAATTGACTGAAATTCACCATGTTTAAATAACAGTATTTTCATAAAAATGATGTTTATGAAATTTCCTTTTTATTAAACTAAGTTAGTTACTCAAATTGCTAAGACTTGTCAATTCAAATATGTATGATGATTATGCATCCATTAAAATTTACCAATCAAAACGTAAAGAAATTGATATGGTATAACAACCCTTACACAACGAGATGTTTACCAACATAAAAACCAACTTAAATTTAGTTCCAGCATAGATGTATATATACCCTACACATCTAGGGTTCTAGGTATGGGTGGTTTGGGTTGTAAATCTACCTTGATATCAGACTGTTCGTAAGGAATACAAACGGTTAAAAAATTTGAATATCCTCTCACCTCATAGAAAAGGACATGTCCGGTATTTACCAATGAGAGAGCTAATCGTCGAAAAAAAGAAAGAAGGGCATATTTAGAGGGTACCAAAAATAGTCTTCAAAAATAGACCGGTCTAAACCCTTTGCATTATAATAGAAAAGGTTCTGCGGCTAATGCTTTATTTGATTTTCAAAGCTTTTTTCCCACGTTTACATGAAATTACTTTTTTCAATCTTAATACTTTTTCTCCCAATGCTCCAAAATACTAGTAGTTTCTTTTAAGCAGAATATTCAACTGAGTATATAGGCCAGTACAATTCTTTATTCCGTGTTTCAATTGTTTAGATTTTTGTATAGATATTTTATGAAGTGCTACACTGGATTTTTTTCAAATTTAGTCACATTTTTCCCTTCATAAAGATTTATTTCAATGTTATTAACATATCTTCCATTTTTTACGCAGATTTTACTTGTTGGTTGTTTGGTTCGTTCGTTCGTATAATGCGGCTATATTATTTGTATAATAAAGGGCAAATATCGTAAATATGGTAAATTTTGGTTGATGCTGGCTCACATGTTTGTTATACAAACCACCCTTAGATATAAATATACAGATTTAAAAGTCTATATTGCTTTCAAAGAACCAAACTGTGCGTTTTTCTAACATATATAATTGAGGTAACATCAAATTTTCTTAATTACAATATAAAGGTCAAGAGAAATTCCTTGGTATACTTTACTTAGTAGATGTATTTAAGTTGTTAAAGAACTGACCAATTTATTTCTTATGGGATATTTTACAGTTAAGCGGCTTTAAACGTTTAGGTATATGGTAACATTGGTTTATTTCGACTTTTGGTCGGTAAATTCCTCTTTGAATAAACGTAAAATTAATAAGATTAAATATTACGGTAAGTTCTCATATGTGTAGTTGTGATCCATTCTTTAACCACCAAAGAGAAGGTTATCAAGGCAGTTTCTGTACTGACATTTTAGAAAACTAATTGCCACTGAACAGCTGTTTCGAAAAAATGTAGAAAAAAAATCTTGTTTTTGCTTAATTCATTTGTCACTAATGTACATTTTATTGCATTACCTCAAATGCAACACATTATTAATAAAAACATATAACGATATTTTTACTTGTTTCAAATGTAATAACACTTGTTTTACGTTGTAAGCCTTCAGACTAGATATTGTATCAAATAAACCTATAATTCATTCAGCAGACTTTTATTACTTAGCAACCAAAACTGTTTCGATAGAAGAAAATCACTCAGATTTTCTATTTTTGAGACAGAGATACTGAAATAACAATGAAAGCAAAAGAAGAACTATATTTATCCTGGTTGACATTTTCTGTTGTATATTGTTCTGGATCGTCATTGCTGCATACTCGTCTCTAATAAGTCGTTTACCTTTGTCTTTTCTAAAAAAAACTAGTAACTATAAATAAAACTTTATCTTTACAATTTCTGTTGAAAATTTATTGAAATTGCCCGATTCACTTATAAATAAAAAGGTGACTCCTATGAATTTTTTTTATTAGTTGTTATTGGCTTTGAACTCCGATCACTCTCAGATCTGTACTTAGTGTCTTTTTGTTGTGAGGATGTATAAGTACTCTGCCACGTCCACTGTGTTTTGTATTACTTGTTTTTGTTTTGTATCTATCTGATGAGTTAATCCCTTTTCAACTGATTTTTATAGTTTGCTCATATGTTGTACTGCTACACCACTGTCCCAGGTATGGGGAGGGTTGGGCGCCCGCTAACATGTTTAACCCCGCCACATTCTGTATGTGCCTGTTCAAAGTCAGGAGCCTGTTATTCAGTGGTGGTCGTTTGTAGCTGTATATCATATTTGATTTTCGTTCATTATTTTAACATAAATCAGGCCGTTAGTTTTCTCGTTTGAATAGTTTTACATTAGTCATTTCGGGGCCTTTTATAGCGGACTATGCGGTATGGGTTTTGCTCATTGTTGAAGGCCGTATGGTGACCTATAGTTGTTAATTTCTGTGTCATTTGGTCTCCTGTAGAGAGTTGTCTCATTGGCAAGCATACCACATCTTCTTATTTTTATATGTTTAATATAAGAAATAAAAATGTTATTGGTAACTGTTGACAAAAAATATGTTCGTTGGGGGCAAGGTCCAAAATTTCAGTAAGATGTCTGCCATTGTTGATTTTGTAAGATCTTTGGTAGTTTCGGTTGAATTTCTTCACAACATTTTTAGACTTGTGACGATTTTATTTATAAACACGTGTATATAGTTGAAGACCATATGTTGCTGACCTCTCGATTTTCTTTTTGATTTCGTGTCATCTTAGACTGCTACCTACTATGTGCTAGAAATATACCTATACCTATCGTTTTAATCACACATAAATAGATATAACAACCTTCTAGAAACAGTTTGGAACCGTCGAGATCGAGGGCTTACTTATAAATGTGTCACTTGTTTTAATAACCTTGTCCCTTATGTAGAAATGAATCGAATGCACAAATTTGGCATTAACGTTCTTTACCGCATGTGGCAAGCTCAAAGGTTGAATAGTTATGGCTTACTTAAAAGAGACAGGTATTGAAATCTCTAAAGAGGAAGCAAATAGAAATGTCTTTTAAAGCTAAATGATAATATTTGGAACCTACACGGGAATTGTACACATAATGTTCACACTAACATGAGGTAGCAATCAGCAATACGCGACTATAAATCAAGGATGGGTAGACAAGAAATCACCATACTGCCGAAATTATGTCTCGAATCTAGTACGTGTTTTTGTACTTTAGGAAAGTGCATCTTCACACACCAATGAATGTGTCGGTATTCAGATAAGTATATACCACAATGACCTCTTTTCCATGCTCCATTGATTCAGATAAGTATACACCACAGTGACCTCTTTTCCTTGCTCCGTGCATTGATTCGATAAAGTTTACAACAAAGACAATGACTCGAATTTTCTTGTCAGTGAAAATAGAGTAAATGAGCAAAGATTATATTCAGTAGATGTACCCAGACTATATTGCATGTCTCAGTGACGTCATCAAATAAAGTAGCGTGTTCGATAATGATTCCAGATGCGGATCTTTAGGATTTTGAAAGGGGGCAAACTAGGCAACGTTAGGAGTTTGATTAGAAAAAATATATGCATTAACCATATGTATAGCTCCATAAGGGGGGTTGCTGTCCCCCCTAAAACGGGCCTCTGGATTCACAGTCTTTTATATATAATGTGCAGTTATATACAATATGCAGTTTGCGTATACATTGTCCCTTTATAGGTAATTTATTCGTACGAGCTGAGAAATAAGAGGAACAGTGTTTTCCTTTTTTACAAGCATATGCTAGGGTTAGGGATATAGCAAAAGTTTAGCTGGATGTCTTTATATGTATAGAACTAAGTTCCCCTGTATTTTATTTACATAATGAAATTTTCGTAAACGTCTTATCATTACTTAACTTATAACAATATGAAAGCGGCATACGCGGAGGTTCTTACAACACTATGTCTGGTTTTTACATAAAGCTAATTGTTGCCATTTCAAAAAGTAGGGGGAGGGGTCACAAGTGTATCTAGTTTCATTAAGTATGGAGAGGGGTCACAAGTTTATTAAGTTTCATCTAGTGTGGAGAGAGGTCACAAGTGTATTAAGTTTCATCTAGTGTGAAGAGGGGTCACAAGTGTATTAAGTTTCATCTAGTATGGAGAGGGGTCACAAGTGTATTAAGTTTCATTTTTAATAGTAACTAGGATACTCCAAACAAACCAAAAACTAGTAAATTCTGAATAAAAGCTGTGTATCTCCCTTACAGACACAAACTAATTTGATTCAAAATTACTTATATATACAAACATTTTTATGCACCTGTCCGAAGTCAGGAGCCTGTTGTTCAGTGGTTGTAGTTTGTTGGCGGCGTGGTTCAAAAGTGTTTCTCGTTTCTCGTTTTTATACGACCGCAAAAAAATTTTGTGGTCGTATATTGGTATGACGTTGGCGTCGTCGTCGTCGTCGTCGTCCGGCGTCGTCGTCCGAAGACACATTGGTTTTCGCACTCTAACTTTAGTTTAAGTGAATGGATCTTTTTGAAATTTGACCATAAGGTTAAATACCACAAAAGGAAGGTTGGGATTGATTTTGGGGGTTATGGTACCAACAGTTAAGGAATTAGGGGCCAAAAAGGGGCCAAAAATAAGCATTTTCTAGTTTCCAGACAATAACTGTGGAACGGTGTATGGATCTCTCTGAAATTATACTACAAGTTTCCATACCACAAAGGGATGGTTAGGATTTGGGGGGGTTATGGCTCAAACCGTTTAGGAATTAGGGGCAAAAAAGGGGGAAAAACAAGGTTGTCCTGGTTAATGGACAAATACTTTAGTACAAAACATAATTTAAAGCAGTGTAAGGGAGATAAATCAAATACATCATTGAAATTATCTCCCTTACACTGCTTTTAAATTATGTATAAAGTAATGGTTAATGAACAATAAAGATAATTTAATACAGTGTAAGGGAGGTAATCCAAATACAACGTTTTGGTTACTTCCCTTACACTGCTTTTAAATTTTTTTGCCCCTAATTCCTAAACGGTTTGAGCCATAACCCCCTTGTTATACTTGTAGTATAAATGTTGCATCTTTTTTTTTTTACAAAAAAATCCATATGAAAGATTTGACCCTATATTTTTGATTCTATTATAAAATAGATTAAGTTAGCACTATGGTAAATTTAAATGGGTAATTATGGTTGCCAACTCCATTGGAAATTTGAATAGAGATTATGACCATATCTTGAGGGAAAGAATTTTTTGGGGGAAAAAAGGGGGGGGGGGGATAAAAAGAAATTGTGGGAGGTCAATTTTTTCTCATTTCAGATTTCAGAAATTAAAAAGAATTATTCTTCAAATATTATTTTTTTTTTCAAATTTCAAATATTGAAAAATTTCAAGAAGTAATCTTTAATTGCACAGTATGGCGCATTAGATTTGTAAAATCTTTGATCACATTTATTTATTTGTTATGCCGAATCTAACAGTGTATTTAGATTTTTAATTTTGGGTCCAGTTTTCAAATTGGTCTACATTAAGGTCCAAAGGGTCCAAAATTAAACTTTGTTTGATTTTAGCAAAAATTGAATATATGAGGTTCTTTGATATGCTGAATCTAAACATGTATTTAGATGTTTGATTTTTGGCCCAGTTTTCAAGTTGGTCCAAATTGGGGTCCAAAATTAAACTTTGTTTGATTTCAACAAAAATTGAATATATGGGGTTCTTTGATATGCTGAATCTAACCATGTATTTAGATTTTTTATTTGTGGACCCCGTTATCAAATTGGTTCATATTAAGGTCAAAAGGGTCCAAAATTAAACTTTGTTTGATTTCATCTAAAATTGAATTATTAGGGTTCTTTGATATTCCAAATCTAACCGTGTATTTAGATTTTTAATTTTGGGTCCTGTTTTTTAAATTGGTCTACATTAAGGTCCAAAGGATCCAAAATTAAACTAAGTTTGATTTTAACAAAAATTGAATTCTTGGGGTTCTTTGATATGCTGAATCTAAACATGTGTTTAGATTTTTGATTATGGGCCCAGTTTTCAAGTTTGTCCAAGTTGGGGTCCAAAATTAAACTTTGTTTGATTTCAACAAAAATTGAATATATGGGGTTCTTTGATATGCTGAATCTAACCATGTATTTTGATTTTGGACATTGGACCATAATAGGTAAATTAAAAAAATTCAAGTTCTTAGACCACATTCTTTCTGTGTCAGAAACCTATGCTGTGTCAAATATTTAATAACAATCCAAATTCAGAGCTGTATCAAGCTTGAATGTTGTGTCCATACTTGCCCCAACTGTTCAGGGTTGGACCTCAGCGGTCGTATCAAGCTGCGCCCCAGCGAAGCATTTTATCTTATATAGATTAGATCGTTATTTTTCCTGTTTGAATTGTTTTACACTAGTCTTTTTGTGGCCCTTTATAGCTTGCTGTTCGGTGTAAGCCAAGGCTCCGTGTTGAAGGCCGTACGTTGACCTATAATTGTTTACTTTTTACACATTGTAGCTTTGGTGGGTATTTGTCTCATAGGCACTAATACCACATCTTCTTATTTATATAGAATTTGCAATAATGTAACAAAATGTGTAAACAGAAACGCGTGTTTCGATTTTCTGGATATTTGTTAAATTCTGTGAAAAGTGAAAATTTTCTCTAAAATTTATCTGATATTAAAATTCGACTAAATTTTCATCAAATTTCCGATCCACCCATCCCCTCTTAGATAAAACATTTGTAAAGTAACTTAGTCACATTGGTGATGCGGGACAAGTTTTCTAATTGTTGAATGCACCTACCTATAAGCCCTCCTTATAAACTCGGCAAGGGTGAAAATGAATGATTTTCTTATATATATATATAAATAAGAAGATGTGGTATGATTGCCAATGAGACCACTCTCCACAAGAGACCAAATGACACAGAAATTAACAACTATATAGGTCACCCTACGGCCTTCAACAATGAGTAAAACCCATACCGCATTAATCAGTCTTTCAGTGGCTCATACTATTAGTTCTAATCTACAAACACGAATAGCCGCCGGATATTCAAAAAGCATAAATTTTGGAAGGTGTGGGATAAACGTCAATGAGACAGTAGCTCAACGACAACAACAGACAAAAGACATATGTGGCAACATACAGCCTCGAGCAATATAGATATACGTGTATAATATATGTCATGCCGTTTAGGACCTGTTTTACGAGTCCCTTGTATGCAATGAGATCTTGTATAAACTTGAACTGTAAAGTCTTTAAAGACAATTAAAACTGATGTTCATTTTCCTTAAGACAATTTAAGACCGATGTTCGCATTTTCTTAAGACAATTTAAAATAGGATGTCCAGTTCTTCCAAGTTTAAACAATTTAAGGTATCTTGTTAAATTTTTCTTTATGCAAAAAGATAAGATAGTATGTTTTGATATGTCAACAAAGGTTAGGATTGATTTCCATCGGGCTGTGAATTAGCAAATTTCTCAGGATTATAAAAATACAGATCATGACTTTACATGCACTATTTATTGATATATCGATTTCAAACAATTATTGAGTTCGTAAATGTATTTTACTGTAAATTTAAGGCCTTTTTTTCATTCATTGTATTCAGAAGTATTAACAAGCTATATTCATGACAGTTGATTAGTTAATTTTATTTAGAAGATACTATTCGTGTAGACCAACTGAACGAAATATTCCTTTAACTAGTTATTTGCGTGTCCTTTATTATAGTAGAAAATTGATATGGCCTTATTTTTGTTACAAGGTTCCTGACCTCTGAATATATTTTAACAAATTATTCAAAAGACATACAAACAAATAATCAAATGAACATAAAAACTACCCGAGTATTATAACTACGTTTGTCATGCAACATCGAGAAATAGTTATTTGGTGGATTATTTTTTTGCTTTTCATTGTTGCAGTAACATATCGGGTTTACAATTTCTTCCTTGTTCAGAGGTTTTTGTCAGCGTATATCCTGCTTCATAGTCAAAATATGCGTTTTTATTGAAAATGCTGACAATAAAATCGTGGTGTTATTCGCAAGAAAAAAATTTTTGCCTTTCAAAATTGTTATCTAGTACGTGAGATTTGCAGCCTGTTTTGTTACCAGTATATATGTACATGTGATCCTCCCATAAACCCAACGATAAAAAGATACAGGGAAACAAACCAACCATTGTATGTCAAAAACAGGCAGACGATATTAACACAAAACAATGATCTGCAAAACAGTATATACACAAGATTGAGAAAAATCTAAACCAGGGTAGTAAGCAGTTACATCTCCATTACTTTTACATCACTCGGTTTTTTTTATATAATAAGTGCCAAATGCATTTAAACATTATACCGGAGTTCTTACTAAGATCCCCCCACCCCACCCGATTAGTTCAGCGGGTACTCGTCACTTTTGTCTACGGTTCTGACAAAACCAACCGATCAACACAAATATATATATATATAAATATATAAGGTCTTTTGGAAAATGTTGTTTGTGCTGTATTTAGACCCAAATACCAAGAAATTTGTTTTGCATGCACACGTATAAAAATTGCGGTTTTTATCCAATGCAATCATAGGTTTGAACGTTGTTTTCAATTTAGACTTGTTTATATTTTTTCGTTTGGGCTTGTATTATATTTGCCTTCGGGTTTATATGATCCGTTCATCCTAGTTCGACTCTTCAAAATTCAAGAGTCTATCCTAAATTGAGGTAAATTATATGGCCTTCCAAATACCGTTTCAATTCCTAACATCACTGAAGAGACATTAATTGTCGAAATCCGGATATGTTTGCGGTATACCATCTTTTCCGCAAGTTTATTGTTTTCTGTTTGGTATTAAATTAATAGTTAAGATCCATTTTGTTACATCTGGTGATCCGTTTATTTGGCAATCGCCAATGGCAGTCAGCAGGGTTTAAGAACATCCGTTGTTCGACCTGCTAGTCAAATGCGTATTGTTAAAATATACTTTTTCACTTTTTAGGTCTTTTGGAAAATGTTGTGTGTGCTGTATTTAGACCCATCTACCAAGAAATTTGTTTTGCATGTACACGTATAAAAATTGCGGTTTTTATCCAACGCAATCATAGGTTTGAACGTTGTTTTCAATTTAGACTTGTATATATAAATATATATATAGAAGTCTATAAAAAGTACCAACCATCAAATTTAATATGTACGGGGTCGTCTAGAATAGACGATACTGCACAGATAAGGAATAAATTATAAAGTTCTAAAGATTGGCGCAACGGTACTAATATAAGATATAATATACGAAGATGATGTTATAAAATCGTGTTGACAAATATTTCGGCTGAACTTTTTCTTGACACTGACGAAGGCTATTTGTTCAGCCGAAATATTTTTCAAAACGATTTTATAACATGTAAAATTTATTGACACTGACGAAGGCTATTTGGTTATATTTACTGTGTGTATATATCTGAAGGTGTTGTAATACTCTAGTTATGCAACTTGATCTGAAAACAGGGAACATCGCTCCGTGGCCACAACTAAACTATATCACAACAATAGAACTTCCAGTAGAAATAACTGGGCTACTAGGACGCATAGCGTTAGAGAGCCGCATATGGGAAGAAATATACTTAGGGACTTCAAAGTCATTTCAAGCACTACATATTAGTCAAACTGACAGGGAATCAAGTTGGGGAACCAGCTGCAAAGATAGAGCCACAACCCAACTACATATAGACATGCAACAGGAAGCGGGAAGAACCATCACCAGACAAAAAGTAAAACCAGCTAGGGAGCAGTCTTCGCAATACCAAAAAAATTTGTGAGGCGTATACGATATAACGCCGACGAAATATATGAGGAGAAACAAAGTATAAAAGAAAGTATGAATTTAGTAGACAGTCCGTACATACCAAACATGCAGCAAATGTATAGAATTACGTTAGAAAATGGTACAACAAAGTACTCTGAAGCTTTTGACATCGATGATCCTATAGATTTACAAATAGATTTCCTCCTGAAAAAGATCACATACTAATTGGAGATCGTCCGCCAACTCCAAATTTAGAAATATTTAATGAGTAGCATTATAAAACAAAGATGAAGGCTAGATGAAAGTTAGAAGATTGGGAGTAAAGCCCTATAGTACAAAGTGTGCACTACCTAACCATGCACGTTAAAAGCATACGACGACGACCACCACCACTAATTATGTAAAAGAACAGGAGTTTTTGGGTGGGTTCCGACAGTTCTTTACATAAAGGGAAAATTATTACAGTTTTAAATTACCTCTCCAATTAATAAAGAATGCCCATTTGGAATATATGTAGGACTCGGAGGTGCGATGGGGACGCTGAAGTACGATGGTCCCGCTGAAGTGCGATGGTCTGCGCCGAAGTGTTTTGGTCCGTTCGCTGATGTGCGATGGCCTATGTGACGCGTGGTGGCTTGTTTAAAATCTACAGTTGTGCAATTATTTAATTGTTTTATAGTTAGTATATAAAATATTCATTATTGTCTATGCATATCCTTAGTTACAGTTGCATATTAAATGAGAGATCATCCTCTTTGGTCATTTATGCATGTGAACATAATTCTGCTTTAACATTTGATTTTTACCTGGTTCTTCTCATGAGTTCCTCTTTTACAGTAATATTATTATACAGAGAGTCTGTTTACGAACCCGTATGTATTTAGAGAATAATGCCACGATCCATCGTACGTAAACTAGAACCTTTTGTATATTTAGAAACAAAAATCCGCTACAGAAGGTTAACTCGACCAATCACTCTCCGTTTCCTGTAGTTTATATTCCCCTTATTAACTTAAAAACCCGAAAACTGCTTCTATAGTAACACAATGTAACGTCGACATAAAGCAAACGAACTGCCTTCTTCATAGACATGAAAAGCATTGAAAATATAGTTTATTTAGTCCATCGCACTTCAGCGTTATCATGCACCATCGCACTTCGGCGTAGCTATCAAGAAGATAGCGTCACAATGCCACCATCGCACTTCAGCGTGATCAAAAAGGCACTTCAGCGTCCAACCATCGCACTTCAGCGTGACCATCGCGGTTCAGAGTCCTACATATATATTGCATCCGATTTAATTTTTTTATTCTAAACAATCATATACTTAGTATATATATATATATATATATACAAGTCTAAATTGAAAAAAACGTTCAAACCTATGATTGCGTTGGATAAAACCCGCACATTTGATACGTGTGCACGCAAAACAAATTTCTTGTTAGAAGGGTCTAAATACAGCACAAACAACATTTTCCAAAAGACCAAAAAAGTGAAAAAGTATATTTTAACAAAACGCATTTGACTAACAGGTCGAACAACAAATGTTCTTAAACCCTGCTATATATATATATATATATATATATATATAACTTGCAGTATGTACTATGTACAGTATGTTATACTTTTCGGCACACCCTCCTTTATCTCCTCTCACCTTCCATTGTCGCCTTTGCTGTATAGTTTTAAGCCGGCTGATCGACTCAGTGTTATACTTTACCCTACAATGAAAAAAAAATCTACACTTTTGGGTTTTGTTTTAATGTGAATTTATTTTAACAAAATGTTAAACTCCGTGGTTAGAGTGACTGGCGAACGTGTAAGCAACACTTTGTTGTGAAAGGTAGACGTATATGGAAGAAACTCTCATTTATGAATGGCGGACGTCTTAGAGAGCACCAAATTGTAAATGGTGCCCCAAAAAGAAAGTAATTCAATCGAAAAGGCAAACATAAACAAATTTGGTATAAAAAATATCCGAAAATTATTTTTCTTAATATTTGATAATTTGAGGAAAAAACATGTGAAATAAGGCTTCAACCGGCCAAATAACACACTCACAAATCACAAACAATCATAAGATTGAGCCGTATAAGGGAAGGTAAAGTGTCTAAATTAAAATGAAAATAACAAAATTAAGGAGTTACGTATGATCTGGAAACAGTACAAGACTCCGGCCACTCCCCCTATTAGTTAAATATGATAAAACTCCTTGTTTTACGATGTGAAAACAAAATATATATATACTAACTTGTAAATAAAAAAAAATCAATGCCATTAGGTATAAACGATTTTCTGGTAGTTTCATTGAAAGCGGGTTTACTATAGTTTAGGCGGTGATTGTGGGAGTGTGAAACTAGACGAAGAAATAGCAATCAATGCATGTCTCTGCTTCAAAAAGCAATGTATGTTTTTGTCATCGCCTCGACACATTTGCACTCGACATCGTGAAGCTGTGTTAATTTTTTTTTTTTTAAGTCCATTGAAAACATGTAAAATCATGCCTCGTCGGACGTTGATTGAAAGCTTATTTATCAAAGGGATTTAATTAATCCCCATGTTGTTAATTGGGATTCAAACCAGGCGAAATATTCCGTTCGATATTTCATTACCAGATCTAATCAAAATATGATTTTATTTTTTGATCAAAAAATGATCAAGTCCTATTGCAGTTGTATTACGATTTTATTGGTCATTCTTGGTCACGTATCTAGAGAGATTGAAATGCTGTGACAATTTGACAGAAATATTTGAATTTTGTCATCTTTTGATAAATGACAACTATAAACGATGAGAAACCGTAGAATTCATTAAATCGGTATGGGTTAATCATAAACACCTTATAATAACATATGTATATGTGTAAACTGACCCTTTAGGCAATTTAATCCATTACACGTTGAATTAATAACAAAATATATATATCAATCAATAATTTTATAAGAATGTCATTTCAAGTTACGTTAATAATAATAACAACTTTGCACAACTTTTATTTTGTAATGTTTTGTATAGTATATATCCAATTCTATCCTGTCATACACCTGAAAAATAAGTATCGTCTTGGGCATGCGCATAGACCAGCACGTGTTCATAAACAAAGTTTTCATGAAAGAGGGATCAGAATATTGTAGTGTTTGTAGTTTGGTATCTAACCCTTCTTAACTCAGGTAGTTTTGCTACAGAGCTGAAAGCTTTTAACATGGGGACTGAAACTAACAAAGATGAGCGTAACACGCCAGAATATTTAGCACAGTTATTAAAAGACAAGAAACAAATTCAGGCATTTCCAAGTGTTTTTATTCACTTGGAAAAACTTTTAGACGAAGGTAAGTGTAAATGAAAATGTTGTATGGAAAATATTTCAGACTTTAACTGATTATTTGTCCATTTTTTTCGTAACTTTGTTTTAATTTTAATATGCAACTACGCGTCAAAACAAAGAAAATTCTTATTGACGTAAGGAGGAAAGTAATTTGACACTTCGGAAAGTTTGTAAGAAAAGTTTCTTTAGAAAGTGAAGAAAAGTTATTATTTTAAAGATTTTGGGCAGTCTTGAATATTTTTCGCATACATTCATCCCTAATGAAAATTAATCTTCAGGAAATAAATTGTAATTGTGTATTTAATTTTGACAGCAACAGGTTTTTGGCTAGCATTCCGATACACTTGGCCTACATTTTCGGCAGCCATTATTCGACGTAAACAATCCATTGCCCTCTGGTGATCACACAAGATTTTTAACAATAAATTTCTAATAAAAGCTTCAAAATGTAAAAAATGATTAAATTCTCTCGAGGATTGTCATTGCTGTTTGATAGAAAATTGAAAATCTCCCGCGTTTATGTTATCAGAAGCAGATAATCTGAAAGTAAACACACCTGTTTAAATTGTCACCTGGCTGTCATTTTTACAACTATGTTTCAACAGTGACTAGAAAATAGAAAAATTTCCTTATTTTTTGAAAATTAAAACCTAGTGATTTAGATACAATAAAAATTAAACCTAAAGTAATATTCTGGTTAATATAAAAGTTCTAACAATTAATTTGAGTATTAAATTGCACGTTTTTCAACTGGGAACACATATTGGATAATGGCTTACAATCTATTTGTTCATCAATAATCCTGTATGGCTTTTTTATATCCTGGGATATATTGTGTCGCTCTATGATATGCACAGTTTGTGGAGTTATCCCCCCTTTTCACATGTTTTTCGCACGAGAATTCATCTCAAGCATGTTTTTATTACCAAATAACATTATTATATTGATGCTTCAATACACCTTGTACATGTAACCACTTCTCTAATACTTCTTGCCTTCTGATTTGCTTGTTGATATAAATTACCGATTAATTACTAGTTTTTCTCACCAAGTTACATCTTAAAGATTAGTACACTATATAAAAGTGCTGTTATATTATATGTGACAATAATAACATTGGTCTCATGTAGCTGTTAGTTTACTCAAATTTATCCCACCGTTTTTTAATGTACATCGTTTGCTGCTGGAACTTAGCACTTGGGAGTTTATTCAATCTAATATACTAACTCAGAACAAAAATATACGAACTACAAATTCAAAAGGATTCATATTTTGAAAAACAGCATCAAGGAGATTCAGCGATGGATAGCAAGTATAATGCTTAGACAACGTTTGGACACATTGAACAAAAGGTATGGTAGAATGATATGTGTTTAGAACAAATTCATATATTATTTTGTGAATGCACATTATAACTTTATGTCTATAGTTAGAACGGGAGTTGTGATTTAATGACAAAATCTACTTGTACATTTATTAGAGAAGTTAAAAGGAATCTTCCCAGAAAGACAACATCATTAATTTCAATGTCAAATTCTTGTGACACTTCATATGGATAGAAGAAAATGGAAAAAATTCATGGCCGGAGGCAGTTTAGTGTATTCTTATTTGCCAGCTTACTTATATAAATATGGAGTTATTCATACTTTGCTGTTAAAAAGGATTTAAAAATTCTATGACCATTGTAATCGAAATAGTAGCATATTTGTGGCAATTATTTAAATCTATAGATCTTTGTCAATTGTTATTGTCCAACAAAGGCTGAGATGTGAACAGTGATCATAAAATCTGCCTGATACAAATACCATCATCAAATCTTTGTTTATTTCTTGCAAGGTCTGACAATATTCAATAGAACTGTGTTATTCAGCTGAGTGATCACAATCAGTGATTAAGGTCCAATGAGCACATACAAAAAAATATCTCCGATTCTAGGTGGACAATTATCTTTGGATGGCGTTGGATTTCACATCCCTTTAAATTGTTTAAAATACACCACTGATTTTGTATTGGTGATGTTGCATTTTTAGGTGATCTGAAGAGTTTGTCATTTTGTATCAAATTCTCGGTTACTTTGTCGTCACAGGTGCACAAGTTGGAATAAGAGAATGATTTTGGAAATTTAAGCCATTTTATTTAATCAAGATACAAACGAAGATTTGCTCAGTTTGGAAGCATTCCCATGATTTATATATAAATATAATGTACACATTGCCCACAAAATAAAGGATTAAATTCTTTTGTATTACTGAATAAGTTACTATACTTATTAAAGAATTACACGAACATGTTTTGTTCAGAAAAGAGGATCATGTGAAGTCTTTTAATGACGGTAGAATTATTTAAATAAAAAAAATCCCATATGCATTGACCAGTGTCAATTTTCTTGCTTGATTAATTTCAAATTACATTCAACAAGAATAGGTTATATAAATGCTAAGCAAATCAATATAGGGTCGTTTTAAAATAAATTTCATCATTACATGTACATATGTAATATTAAGATACAAATAAAATGTATCTCTTTAATGTCTTTTCAACCATCAGAAGTAATCTAAAGTCTTTGTAAACAATTTTTACATCAGAGGATAACTTTATCCTAGTATCATTGCTAAGTAGGTTGAAAATAGAAATGCAAAAAATAGTAAGTAAGATAAATGTTGAAGTATGTTAACTTTCAATAAGAACATGTATCATAACCTTTTTAAACACTATATATGTACAATGTACATGATGTAGTAGTAGTTTAAAATAAGAAGTAAATGTTTTAGTTGGGAGTTGTAATTTTATATTATTATTTCAAAACTGCAAAACCATCATATCTTTTTGACTTGAACTTTGTATGACATCACACCAATCCATAAAATGTACATATGATAATGTACAGGTATTACATAAAAAAAACATAATTTTTCAGTAAATAAGAGAAGTTGCAATGTCCTTAAGAATTTTTATCAGTCACAAGATGCATTAAGTGTAAAATTATTACTGAATAATGACCACTTGACCTCCTGTTTTATATGACATTTCATCAAGTTAATGAATATTGTGTCATAGAACATGAGTTATTGACCAGTGAATACTGCTGGAATGTTGGCCCTTTGGGCAATATTTAAGTAATACACATATTGTTGTGCAATAGTTACAGGTCAGCTTCACATGAAATACATTTTGAAAGGAAGTTGTCAGTTGTGAACATCAGTATATGTACAATGTTTCATAAGAGCATTTAATAGTATTTTGAAGAAAGAAAATTATGCTGGTCATACTACATGTATTTGTATATTTAAAATACATTTTTTTGATATTTTTTTCATACCAGATTTTCTATAAGCCAGTATAGTGCAGTCGTGCTTAAAATGTGTTCAAAATATTGTTTTAGAATGTAAGAAATCCTCATTTTAAATATATTTTGAAAATATAGCAAACATATGGCTGGTAGAGATTTGTTAACTGGAAAACCTTGTCAAATCAAATAGATCTTTGATAAATAATTGGCAGAAATGAGAATATAAATTAACCTCCAAAGAAAAAATATTACACATTTCAACTAGGAGTTTTTACCAATTATATGTTGATGCTAAAATAGCTTTCTCTTTTGATATCCATCAAAACACATGAGGTTCTAATTTTGTTTGAGTCATGATTTTAATGTTGAAATGTGAGAAGTAGAAATTCTCTGTGGTGTTATGGCTTCCAGATGTCAGGGATATGTAATAGAAGAAAGAATTTGTTGGTTCACATGGAAACTCCCCCCTGTTTCTCAGTAGGAATTCCAGACAAGCTCATTAGTTGAAAAGGGAAAAAAAGGAATAACATGATTTGCCCCCAGATATTTATACAATTCTTCATCTCTGGTGGTTGTAAATAGGCATGTTTGTCTGAGAAATCAAAACAAATCTATGAAAATGCATGTGAAATGATTATCTAAATTTATGATCTCTTCACTGAGATTTGTACATCTGTGACACATTTGACTTCTTTCCTCACAAAATTTTGAGAGATATAATAGAGTTTCTCCTTATGTAAACCAGAACTGGTCTATTCTTTGACCATTGAAAAATGTGACTATCTATTTGCCTTTGGGGACTAAGGTATCCATTGAATTTTAATCAAGGAATGCAAATATGTACAGCCAATTGAACATGAACACACACTCCATCCTCACTCCTACTATGGCAGTTAAAGTACACTGGACACTTTTGTTTCCTGTCTTCTTTCAACACCATTCTGTGCATGTAATGTTGTACTGTGGATTTTGCTGGACTTCACCTTGTGTTTGTCTGTCATCCTTATTCAATTTTTTCATACCAGATTTTCTTTGAGTTGTGAGATTTGATTATTTGTGGAAAAAAAACAATTGAAATGTAACCTAATTTCAGAGGTTGGGGTTGAAGGTCATTCTATCAAAGGTCAATGTTATATTTTCAGACTGATTTGATTAGTCACTTGCTTTTTCAGAAATTAACCGTGTGAGATTAGCATTATTTCATCATAAAGGCAACCAACGAGAAGAGTTAATGTTACCTGATGGAATAGGTCCAGTACAGACATTCTCAGAAAAATTATATGTACCAACCAAAGAACACCCAGAAGTAGGTTTCAGATCATTTTAATTTTTTTTAACCAAATAATGTATGTGTGGTTTCCTAAAAAAAAAGTAGGGTTCATATGATATGTCAAACAGGAAACACACACAATTTATTCAGTCGGATCATTTCTATTGTGTATATTGCCATTATAGAATAGGACTGGATTATTCTACTTGACTCGTAAAACAATGCAAATATCTCCAAGGATAATAAATCATCTTTAAGCTATACTTGTGATTAAATTTAATTATTGGTCATAACTGCAAAAGCATCATGATTCAGCATGTGTTTAGTTTTGCATCTGAAAAAAAATCCTGTATATATATATATATATATACATATATGATATCAATATTATGCATTCTGGAATATATATATATATGTACACTACTTATTTTGACAATTCCATCCATCAATCCATGGTGGGAGTTGGTAAAACGGGTCTTCTGAACCCACCTTATAAAGGGGGTAGTCCATTTCTTTTCTATAATGGTGAAACTTGCGCATACAATGGTATAAAGTTTTGAATTCAATTTGTTTTTACCTAAAAGATTAAATTTGGGTAGGCATTTACAAATGACAAAATTAAACCAAGCTATTCAAGTGAGATATCAAAATATTTTAGTTCATTGAAATCTATAAGATTGGGTGAAGCATTGAAAATTACCAGGAAATTTATTGCACTGAAAAAAAAAGGATACTGCAGTATAAAAAATGACATATAATACTTTTTAACAATTCATTTATTTTCATATGCTTTATCATGTATATATTACATTTTGCAGTTTAATTTTGTGGGTCGAATATTGGGACCCCGGGGGATGACAGCAAAAGAATTGGAACAATACACAGGCTGTAAAATAATGGTACGAGGAAAAGGTTCCATGAGAGATAAAAAGAAGGTAAGCTACCTATTGATAAAGCACCCGTTGAAAGTTATGAACATGACGCTAGTGGTCAATAGACGAGTAGACTATAGCTAATTTTAGTTTTATATGTATGTACCAGCAGTTACATGTATGAAGGAACAAGAAGATATTCTTTTGTGGCCTACATATTGCAATGTATTTTAAAGGCTCTTAAAGTATTTCCTTTATTAAGGTCCTTGTCTTTACTATTGACCTATTGTTGATATTTACACCCTTTTGTAAATATTTTTTTTCTATACGAATAGAGAAATTACAAAAGTGATGACCATCTTGAATAGATTGCATTTAAACAAAAATAAGGTTTGAAATCACTGATCATCATTGATTTGACGATTTCTGTATTGACATCACACCTGCTCTTCTGTTTCAATTTGTTTTATGTTAAAACTTAATAGGCACACTGGTCAGATTTCATCATGATAAGTAAAATCCTTTCTATATCAAAAAGGAGTATTCAGATGCAACTTTCAGGATAACCTAGGGTTTAATACAGTTTTCTTGGTATCTTTTATTATGCTAATGACTCCGAGTTCAATAAATAATATTCAGATTAGCACAAAAACAGTCAGAATTGATCATAATGTATTCCTCTGTGTGATAAGTTTTAATTGAAATTCTATGTTGGAGGATGGGTACTTTATAACTTCAAGATTAAGTTATCAGTTGGTGAAATCTATAAAATAACAATCATTTTAAAGATAAAACAGACTAAATCATCAAACTGGCAAAAGTTGTTTAGAATAATTTGTTTCAGCATCAGTACATGTACATTTCCTACACAGTATCTCAGAATGTCAGCTTCTGTGTTGTTTTCAAGTGTCTATTAATTATCTTCTCAAAACTTGAAAAGGTAAAAAAGTAATGGATATTTATCTTCAATTTTCTTTAAATGTCTGATAAGAAATTATTCTGAAATCTGTGCAGCTTCAAACCAGTGAAAAAAGGCTCAAACAGGTAACCCAGTGTTCATCACCTGTCTTCATTTATCAAGATCAAATATGAATTTCATTCAGATTTTTATTAGAACTCTTACCCAATTTACATGAAATATGGAAGTTAAAAAGTTGTTGCCACTTAATTATGCAGAGTCTGGGATTTGCCTGTATATTTAGCAGGAGCAATATATACCTTTTTTGTTGAGAAATTTAATAAATGATGTTTTTAGATCTTTATTTTACCTCTGAAACAAATTTATTACAAATTGAAAATTTTGTCTTGTTTTTTACCTTTCTAAACCTGAATTTATTTTGTCTTCTTGTTTGAATCAAGTTCGACAATTTTCCTTTACTTTCAAGACGAGAAACACAGGTGTGAAAATATCATTATCTTGACTTTTCAGAGAATAAATAAAATCTACTTGCCCAGAATTTTTTTTAACTTGTCCCTACTGGTTGCTCTATTACAGATATTTCTTGTCCCAGACAAGTAGCAGTTGGAACATATTTGTCAAGGATATTTTGAGACTGCTAGTTTTCAATTTTATTGCTGGGAATATTTATTCCTTAACCTGTTGTACAGCATATTTACATTAATGTCTGGTTAAATGGTACAGTTTATAAGTATCTATTTTATACATGTCTTTGTGCTTCAATTTTAAGGTTTGATTAAAAAAACAGTTTTTGCTAAGTTGTTCAAAACTTACAAGACAACAGCTAGTAGTAGGTTGTTAATTTATGGAGTTTGATATTATTTTAATATAATAATATTGCATTTGTCTATTGTGAGTCTTCTATTATAAAAAAATATCTTTTGTTAATTTGTGATATCACATCATAGGAATTTTAACTGTGAGATCAACAATTATTTTGCAGGAAGACCAGAATAAAGGCAAACCTAACTGGGAACATTTAAACGATGAACTTCATGTATTACTAACAGTAGAAGACACAGCTAATAGAGCTGAAGCTAAATTAAAGAAGGCAGTAGAAGAAGTTAATAAACTATTAGTACCTGCAGTAAGTTTATGTTTTCTGTATTTTATACATAAATTTTAATGATAATTCTGTTTTATGCCAGGAAAATTGTTCAAAATAAAAGTACAATGCTATCACTAAAATATAATGGCCAAGAGTTCAGCAGTTTATTACAAGTATTGAGAATTTCCTGGTTAAAGTATCTGCATTCAATGTTTTGTGTTATTACAAAATTTCAGCTTTATATATTTGTTTATTTAAAATGTTATTCATTCGAAGTGATTTTTTTGGAAAATGACAAATGTACTTGGCTATGATGAATATTGACCATCAGCTGAGGGCTATATTAAGTTCTGATGTTTATGCAAATCTAAAGAATTGTAAGATGTTTGTTGTGATAAGTAAGTCTGTAAAGTCTTAATGAATTAGGCACACAGGATTTGATGAATTTTATAACCAACTGAATAACATAGTTCCAAAGTTCTGGTCCAAAACAGTTTCTTAAAGTGAACTTATTGTGTAAGTAGTGATTCAGTAAGATGTAATAGATACAGAAGATTACAAATGAGATAAAATCTTACAGTACATGGGAACATCGTGCTAAAATTCTGTTAAAAAGATAGTATAGATAATGCATTAAATTGTATAAGCACTGCACTGATCAAGATTAAGTTAGGTCTAAAAAAAAACCAGTTTTTATTAATATGAATTACATAAAACATGTCTCCTAAAGCAGTTTGTAATACATATCTTTTTCAAATATGTTAGAATACTTAGTTAATTGTTTACTCAACTTGTGTCTAAATTCTTTACAATTTCCTCAGGTTATTGTCAGAAGTAGTACTAATGTATATGTAGTTTACTGTATGTTAAGTAAAGGGCACTTCTTGGCCTTTAATTCTTGTTTAAGTTGAGTTCTGTCTATATTCTGAATGTATTATAGCTCCATTTTCAAGGTATTAAATTGTTGGTTTTTCAAAAACTTGCAAATCAATTTTTGGGTAATGAAAGAAACGACACTTCGTTGAAATTAGTGTAAGAAGAATTTGACCTTAGAAATAGAAACCAATTTGAATATTTTTTGCTTCAAAACTTTGTCCTCATGTATTGATAGCTAACATGGATCGATATTTGCTTACAAATTTTGGAGGTCGTCACAATTATAAGATCTTCAGAAGTCCAATAATTAGACGGATTTTACAGATGATTAGCTAGATAACTGATTTGAGAAATAAGACAAACTTTTGTATACTGGTAATCTCTGGAAACAGTAATTAGTTTGTCTGTTTCGAGAGGTAACCCAGGGGGAAAGTTAAATTTTGTTTCTTTTAAAAATGAACTGGGGAAAAACATTTCAAAGTTTATGCTTATGAGGGATAAGGGGGGCAGTAGAAATCTTTCAGTGATGAACCATCTGGTAACAGTGATTTTTTGTGGGGTGGTTAAAATGTTGAAACAACAGTAAACCTTGTTGGTTCCCAAATATGGTGTTTATACATTCATGATAGAATGTAAGGATAAACTTGTATCTCCCTTGTGACACCTTCTTTCACCCTTATTGAAATGAAGAAATGATCTATAAATAGCAAGCTGTGTCTAGAGCAATGATCTGTGAATAGGTACATTCATCATTGTCAAGTCGCAGATTTTGGCAGAGAATGAAATTACAGACAGTAAAATGATTCATGTAGTATCTTGATCAGTTATAATTTGTTACAAATAGTAGCACATCTTGGTCGATTGTCAGTAATTGAAGACAGTTACATAAATAAAGGACATTACTACCCCTGTGGGATTGCCATTTTTCCTCAAAATACAAAAATAAAATAGACAAGATATTTTTGCTTCAATCAGAAGTAAAAACTTTTGTCAAGAATTCCTTCAAACTTTGTAAGCCGAGTTATAATGTAACAGTATTAAAAATTCAAACTAAAAAGCAAGCTTGTCACAGGGAAGTGTCATAAAACCTAAAAAGTTATTTATCCTTCTAAAAATAGAAGGTTAATTGAATGTACTCAGTAAATACAAAGGCAATGATTTACACCCATTGTTAAAGTAGTCATCCCAGAGGCAATGATTTACACCCATTGTTAAAGTAGTCATCCCAGAGGCAATGAGATTTGGTTTATACAAAGAGGCACCTTGCTGAGTGATAATTATCTCTGGGGTATTTCATTTTTGATAGAAAGATAAAATTGATAATATTTGTGATTGGCATATAACAAACAAGGAAATTGACACTTGTAAAATTCCCCACAGAGGAAGACAAAGTAATAAGGAAATTATTAATGAACAATTAACAAGGCAAATATTTCCCTGTATTTGTTAATTTGCTAGTTTTCAAAAAATTGAAATATTGTTTGAAATTCCAAATTTGGGTAAAATGTTTAATTCCCATTGACTAGTCTCTGGTTTCAGGAAGTCACTTTATTGTCGACAGTTGACAAAAGCTGGTGTCAATATTGCATCATCTATTCAAAATTATGTTTTATCCAAAGGAATAAAAGTATAAAGAGATTTAAGATATAATTAAATTCCAACAAAAATCTGTCCAAAATAATTGCTGTTATTAGTATTAGTTTTGTTGGAAAAGATTTTTGACAACCTTAATTTTGATTGTGTATATAATTATATGAATGATATTTGAATGTTCATTAACACTTCATATATACTTGCCAAAAGGTTTCTCCAAACAAAAATAAAGTAATAAACCTCGCCAGGTATATCATAATTCTTGTATATATGAAGAATAATGAAATTTATGTTTAATTTCCGTACAAGAATCAAGATTTTGTTCATTTTGGCATCTTTTATGTGAATTATTGTCAGTCATACATAGAGTAATAAAAACAAATATATGTATAATTTATGCTAATTAATTTTGGACCAGTTGACATAAATCGACCTGTAAACACAGGTGATTCAAGAGATGAATTCAGGTACACAAATACACAGGTAAATTACATATTCCAGAGAAGACACTTTTGTAAGGATTCAGTGATTCGACTAAACTTTACACAGTATATATATATATATATATATACTATAAGCCGTTTCAAATGCTTTAATTGTCCTTCTACAAATTATTGATTTCAACTTATTGTAGAAAATTGTTGAATAATAAACACTTTTGTTAGTCTACAAATAAGCTGTTTTCAGATTTCTATGCAGTAATTTAATTTGTAACAAAAACTTTTAGAGATTAGAGCAAATGTTAGGGTAGAAGTTCACAGTGATATTTTGTCTCTTTTTGAAGTACAAAGCTATTCAAGTCATGTCTTGTATAGATTGTATTTGTACAGCACATTAATGTTAAAGACACTTTGTTCCAAACTGTTTCAAAAACAGATCAGATTAAAAAACACTCCTGTCTATTTAAATACTACAAATTACTTAATTACTGTTTAAAATCTTAAGAATAATAAACCTGTAGGGCTTGAGAGCAAGGTTATGATAAATACTTGTAAAAATACACTAATTTTCCTATGTACTTGTCCAAAACCTGTAAAGTATGTGTAAAATATGGCTTTGATAGAAAATTTGTGTTAACTTTTGTAAAAATACAATAAAATAGCCTTTTGAACTGTTCAATAACTACAAAATGTATGTATATAGGAGTTTGTGTAAATACCTTTATAAATATATTATTGTAATTTAAGAAGAAGCCTCGGCTATTAAGTTTTCTAATAGGATGCTTTTTCACCTGTTTTTACCTGAGAATTGCAGGTAAATACTAGGTAGGAAACTTGACACTGATTTGTCTCGCCTGGACGAATCTTATCCAATATTTCCATATAATTCACTTCAACAGTTTCTGTCTTTAACCTTATGGGGTTTTTCTTGTAGAATATGAATGTGGTTCAGAAATCAAATAAATAAAACCTTAATTGATATGTGACAATAAGTTATGAATATTCAATAATTAATCTCATTTTTTGGGAGATTGGAACTTGAAAGAAGATGCCATTACCCTAATTGATATTTTCATAACATGCCTGACTTACTGAAGCTGTTTGAATAGGGTATATTTATTATAATCAGATGTCATACCTGGAATTTGATTACCGATGGTAATCTCCGTTGATTTAATGTTATCCAGCAGAATAGTCAGCAATTATATCTTACACAATATCAAAAGGCATAGAAATCTTCAATGAGTAATTAAATCTCAGCTATAGATTTTGAATAATAGGTTTATTGTATACATGTTGGACCTTACCAGTTTATTTTTTTTCTTTCAAATTTCTATTAAAGAATGATTTTGAGGTATTTTCATTCTACATAAGAATATGTTTATTTATATGTGTATGGAGAAAATACCCATGTAGATGCTAAGTTCTGATTTGAGTTTTGATTTTTTTACTCGGATAAGTTCCTTTTAAAAAGTTGGTGTTAAAAGCAGCAGCTACCCTTTTCCACAACAATTTTTCGCTAAGACTTAAATTGTTTTGCACACTTCTAACAAGTTTTCTTGATTGTTAAATTATCCAGCCAAGTTTGTAAGATTGATGTCCAGATAACGACAGTTTACCTGTTGAACTTTTATGATAAATAGAGAAGTCGATTTTCAATTTTCAGATTTGTTAGATTTTCCGCTTGTCAGCTACATTGATGATTTCTGTCACTAACACCTGACAATTATTCTGAATGAGACATCTTACCAATGGTCTTTTTAAGATGTGAAAGCAATGGAAAATTTAACATTGTATGGTCTAATTTCAGCCCGAAGGTGAGGATGACCTGAAGAAAATGCAATTAATGGAACTTGCCATATTAAACGGAACATATAGAGATCAAGCAAAAGCAATGATCCCAACATTGACTCGTAAGTGTTGCAGCTTCATGCTGCTCAATAGTATTGGTTCAGATTATAATTAATTATTGCCTTTTTTCAGCCCGATGGGGAAGACGATTTAAAGAAACGACAACTCATGGAGTTAGCTATCATAAATGGCACTTATCGTGACACTTCTAAACCTTCTACATCATCGGCCTCACAAACATCTACGACTCGTAAGTTCGGTGGCCTGTATATGCTGCCAAAAGTCGGTGTGCAGTGGATTAGCTTCCCCATTTTTTTTGCCTGTCACTGTATATTCTTTTTTGCATCAGAATGAGGCTACACATCTTGGTTATGTCTATAGATGCATGATCCATTTTGCTATTTTTTGGTATTTTTTATCTATTTGGTTTTAATGGTAGATTTGCTGTCATATTTCACACATGGTAACAGCAGTTACCTCCCTTTTTGTAGACTCTTAGATATAGTAAAATCTGCACACATTTTTATACGGTTTTATAGATTTCATATAATCTAGAAGGTATAGATGCTTATAAAAAGATGATCAATTTTTATTTAGTAAGAAGTCACTTTCTAACCTAACACTTAAAAGATTTACTTCAACAATAATTAGAATTAGACGGAAAGACATTTTTCTATGGAAATCCGATTTTGCAGGTATTTTTGGCTTCGTTGAAAAAAATTACCTTTACCAGGAAATTGAAGCAGTAAAAGTTCTGTGTAGATACTTTTAAATTAAAAGAAAAACACCAAAATTCAAGATTTGTATATACACATTTCTCTATGAAACTTGCCACATTTGATAACTTAAAAGGAAGCCGATTTTGATCCAATATTACTTTGATAGATACATTTGTTAAACAATTTAAATGAGACATCTATACCTTCTTTAATTATCACTTCTGTATATCTTCAGCACTTCATTTCTTTGGTGTTGGTGTAGTACTCTATAAATCTTTTTTCTCTTTTCTTCATATTTTTACTTTTTTCAATTTTTATTCTTAAACCCCCATTATATTTTTATTCATTTTTCATACTATATTCAAATATTTTCATATTTATATACTGATATTATTTTCATAAAAATAAAATTGCATGTTGTCAGGAGGGAATTTATTTTAATTGGATAGCAACAATGCATGTTTTGGATATAGGAGTTACTATTCGGGATAAATGTTTGCATGATTTATATTGTCGTTTATTTCGTATCCTGATATATTGTGTTTCTGTGCAAGACTGGTTGCTAAGTAGGTATAATGAATGTATTTTTCAGGCTAACAAGAGTCCTTATATCTAGCACCAGTCTTGCACAGATATTATAGCATTAGGTTCCATGGGGTTTTTGTTGAAGATGAATTTAAATTTATAAGTAAATTTGTGTTAATTTAGCGATGAGTATTTCTCTTTTGCACTTCAAATGAAATAGTTCAAAGTTGTCTTGATTAATATACCATCAAAATTCCCATGGTTCTAATTTTAATTACTCATTTATGAATTGAAAAATTTGTAATTTTTGTTATTATTTAAAGCAAACCTTACAATAAAAAAATGTCATTTACAAAAAGGGGGAATAATATGAAGTGTAAAGTTTGCTTTACTAGAATAATGCTGTTGTTTTTAAACTGATAAATTTGAAAGATTTGATTATTTTTTCCAATAAATAGAAGGTAAATTTAATTATTCCTGAAATTGACTGATTATTGTGATGATTCTATTGTGCATGTGAGTTATTGCCTTATAAGGTCATGTGTTTCAACATGTCAGCGAATGCTTTGCATTTCACTGTTTATTGTCTATTTCAAAGATATTTAGTTTCTCATCCAATTTAGAGCATAAATTGAATTGTTTCAAATTCTAAAATTCTTAATGGATATCAAAAGGTTATGCTGTTTATTGATTTTGATATGATTAAGTAATATTTAGTCTCTCGATTAAATGTTCATAATCTCGCTTGGTAAATAGCATCCAATGAAATGTACTTTTCTGTTACTGTGTACTGTGACTTCATGAGTCCAAGTCATAGTAGTTCAGTAACAAGAATGAAGGTATATTTCATAGAAAACACCATTATACATTGTGATAACTCTGCAAAAAAATTCGAAAGATTAGAATTGCCTTTTCGTTCTGAAAAAAAAAAAATGAAATGAGTAACTAAAAATCTTTATAAAGTAGACCTTAACAGAATTAACATGTTTGTTATTTTTGAATTTCTTTAATTTTTAGTTGATGGTAGAATGATCTTGACATCCCCAATGGGCAACCCTTTTGCTGCACTAAATGGAGCAGACCCTACCAAAATGAATGGCCAGGGTGCGTTATATTTTACACTTAACCTGTCTTGCTAAGTTCTACTAACTATTGACAGACAAGAAACTTTTTTTTTCAATAAGTGAAGAAAAATCTAGTTGCAGCACAACATCATCATATTTTCTGATGTCAAATTGAAAACCATATTTCTTCAAAATAATTGTGAAAAGTGAAAATAGCCAAATAAAGATTTCAATTTATTAAAAGTGAAATAAAAAAAAAAATTTATATGTCCAAACACCACTGAGGACACAGCCAATCTTAAATGTGTAAACACAATTCCTTGGGGAACTATTTACTGGGACCTTCCTCATTCAATTAGTTTCTGGTTTTGATGATAACTTTTTTAGTTTAATTGAACTACATGTATATACAGAATACTATGCAGTGAACACTAATCATTCCATTGCATCTGGTTTTCTGTTTGATTATGACATCATGATATTATGACCAAATTTGATCTGAAATTATTATTTTGGTGCTTATTAACTTTGTCTTTCTTTGAATTTTAGTTGATGGTGGAATGATCTTGTCATCCCAATTTGGCAACCCTTTTGCTGCACTAAACGGAGGGTTTACAGACCCTGCCAAAATGAATGGCCATGGTGCGTTATATTTTATTCTTAAGTTGTCAGTCCAGATAATGCTTACTTTATAAACAGAAAAAAGGAAAAGCCAGCTTTGGAACTGATTCCAATTAAAAAACAAAGTGATCCTTCAGTGCAGTAATGTTTGGTGGCACAAGTTTCTGCCTTTCAGCTACCATGTATTCAATGATACCACTTATATATCATACTATAAATTGACACCATATATTAAACAATTTATGGTCAGAGATTTGCAATACCACACTTTTTCTGGTAAATAGTAAATTTATTGAATGTGCAAGCAAATATTTTCAACTCGGATGAGAGGGTGCATTTCGTTATTTCTTTTTACTTGCATACCTGTCAAATGACAAAATTTGTAAGGGCATACCTGGGAATTTACTCAACCTCCAAATAATTTTTAATCTCCTCCCAGATCATTCAATTGCCTGGACTTCTGTATATGATTAAATTTACCATGTATTCTAGTACCTACAGACCTTTGATTTTTAAATTTAAAAATGTCAATGAAATACTGCCAACCTTGACATTTTTCATGTACAGAAAGTTCAGTTATTTAATCTTAACTTTTTAATAGCCATCAAACAATATTTTGTCACTTCATTGATAGACGTCACTAATTATTTTGTTAATTATACCTTCAAAAGTTGTCAAGCTTCAAATGTCCTGAAATTTGGCTAAAAATTGATAATCCTGCGAGACAATACATTGATCAACATTATACAACTGTTAGATAGAAATCCCCAAACCTGTTTTCAATCATTCATGCACAAAATAGGAATAAAAATGGTGTAAATACTTAGGGAGTCAGGAATCCCAAACCTGCATTCAATCATACATGCACAATTGAACAGGAAGTATAAAGGTGTAAACAGTAAGGGAGACAACTCTAACTGGAGTATAACTAGTATGGATAACTACTATTAGTTCTGTTACATCAATAAAATGCCCTTAAGTTCTCAACTACATATCAGGAAAATTATTTAAGAACAGGAAGAGGTCAGGAAAATTTCTTTGATGAATTATGAGAATATTCTTTTCATAATGCTGGGGTGTATCGTAATTAATAATTAGGTTATTTTATTATTGTTATATTATAGACATGATAGATATGAATAATTATTCAAAAATGAATATTTAGATAATTAAAAGATACTATCAAGTAATTGCTATGAATTTAAAATGAGAAATAAATAAATAAAATTGTAATTATTTTACACTTTAGAATATTTTGAATAAAAAGATGAATAGTTGTCTCATTGGCAATCATTCTACATCTCCTTATTTTTATATATGTTTTAACATGAAAAATTCAGCTGAAAAAGTTTGTACCCACTTTGACCTGATATTTTTTTCCTCAATGCAGGTCATGACCCACATTCTTACTTTCAGAGGTTATCAGGTATGTATTTTAAGTAAAGTGTTTGTAATATAAAAATGAGGAGATATGATTGTATGCCCATTTTACTTTCGGTTATTTGAAAATAAAGACTTCCCCATAGAATTTTTTCTCAATTAGATGCCCTGTAGTTTTGTGTAATTTTTAAACAAAAATTAAGGACAGGACCTTCATTAGAATCTGAGAAATTATTAGAAGAAATATGGTTATTTTATCTTTTCAAGATTTTTCTTTACTTAGAAAATATTGTGTTTGTGTTAATTTAACTCTAGGTACTTTTGTTTTTTTTTCTCATTTTCTCAAAGATTATAAATCGTATATACTTGGGAAACATTGGGCCAAAGCTGGGCATCTTTTTCTCAAAGATAGTAAATCATATATACTGGAGAAACACTGGGCCACATATACTTGGGAAACACTGGGCCAAAGCGGGTCATCTTTTTCTCAAAGATTTTAAATCATATATACTGGGGAAACACTGGGTCAAAGCTGGGCATCTTTTTCAGTTGTTGATTTCAAAAAATCATTTAATACCTCAAAAATATAACCAGCATTTGATTTTTTTTGGGGGAGGTAGATAACTTAGGTTAACTTAAAAGCAGTAAAAAGATTTTTTTTTAAATTGTCAAAACAAACTTAAACAATAACAAGAAAAGGAGTGTCTACTAAGATAAGTGTGTATAAAAAAGAGATGGATAATTATTAAGGGAGGGTTATAAAAAGGAAAAAGAGTGTGATTTAGGAGGAAATGAATGGAAAAAGGGAGGGAATTGTATATTATTGAAAGGTTATATAGAAGAAGAAAAAGGGGTGGGATTACACTCTGAAAAAATGAATTAGGTTGACAATTGAGGAAAGGTTCAAAGGAAAAGGATGGGAGGGTGTATATAAAAGGGTTGGGATTGTCTGTTAAGGGAGGGGTAAGATAGATGCATGAATCTTTATAACACAATTGACTTGAATCAGCTTTAACATTATTTCACCATCAGTGAATTAGATTGAGATAATGAATTCAGGGAATATATGTTTTTAAGAATTTTAAAAAGACAAAATTTTCTTCATGATAGGAAATCATTTTGAACAAAAGCACTTAACTACCAGAACTAGATCACATAACCATTTCAGTAAAGAATAATTATATATTTAATAGTTAGTAATGCTAACTGTTTGTGTATAATTTTGTTGATTACTAATGTAAATTGTTCATAAGAAGCTCTAGGTCTGTTTTACATCAAGCTAAGCATTTTATGCGTTTGGTAAATTTAATTATTCTATGTGACTGTAGAAATATTAATGCACATTGAGTAAATTGAAAACATATGGGAGAATTTTTTTGAATTTAATACTATGCCATTTTGCTACACCTTAATTTTGTTGAGACATGATTTCAGTCAAAAAAATTGAAGATGTAAGCAAGAGGAACTTAAAATTACACTTTGAAATGTAATTATTTACATAAAAGCAGGGATCAGTTATAAATATAATGCTGCCAAACAGACAATTAATTTATAAAACATACTACAACCAAAATACATTTCGAGTAATTTGTTTGGATGACTTCAGGAATAATCCCATTTTACAGCTTTAGTATTCAAGTGTGTGCTTAAAAAGTCGGGTTTGCTTGTTTGTTATGTGAACAATGATATTTTTTTTTAACCATTGTAACTATAGAAACAAACAAGCCATCATTGTGTTACTCATTTAGTGATATAATTGACGAATGATAAAAATTGTTCTCTTTCGATAGCAAGTTAAAAGTGTTGATATTGATGTTACAGTCCACTCTTAAATACAAGCGATTTCGTTACTCTCTGTTAATACTCAGATAATTATGATGCACATTAAATTATTATTTTTCTGAAAATTTTATAAGTTCAAGGTTATGAGCTAGAATAATAGTCTTAATGTTGATCGTGTTTAATTTTTTCCAGAGGCTCATAGAATGATAGCTACAACTTCACCTTTGACTGGTGTACAACAGACATTGCGTTCTCCTGGTCCTGCAGGAGCACCTCTCATCTTGGCTCCAAGAATGCAAAACATACCCACAAGTTCAGCAGGCCTGATCAGTGGCCCACCACCACCTCTTGTTTCACCAACAGATGCCAGTGGTGCTGCTAGTCTGATATATAATCCCTACAGTGATTTCCCATATGGGTATTCACCGGCGGCATCAATCATAGAATATCCCAGTCACTTAGACCAGACTGCAGCTGGTATGTTTTCTTTCGTGCGCTAGACGTTCTTCTGATCATTCAGTCATCAGTCATTCCATTTTAAACAACATTTAAGAACAGTCCCAAACTGACAATCAACAGTCCCAAACAGACAATCAGGATTTATTTCAATCAAATCCCATTATTATTATATATATATATAAATGTTTAATTTGTTTTATAGTCTACAATTTTAAATTATACCTTAATATTTATATGTACAATATTTCTATAAAATTGTTATTACGTTCATAAAAAAAATATATTTCAAACTTTTGCATGGTATTACAGTTAATATTGCTAGGCATATTGAATTTGGCTTGCAAAATGAAATTTACAAGAAGCAGTATCATCAATATAGATGTTTTATTTAAAAGAATTTCAAATTGAATACATCATTAAGGATTATTTAGTAAAATTTTAGATTTTTTTTTAAATGCAGATTATAAACTGCCTCTTATTAGATTTTTAAAAAATATCAATCCAACTTCTATGAGCATGATTATTGTAAAGCTAGCCAATTTTGTCAAGCAGTTAAGATGAAATGATTTTTTGTTACTTTACATGCCTACCAGAATGAGGATAAGACGGTACGTTTAGACTCAGTACAATGTTGTTCATTTTACTTTAGTCCTGGTAACATTTAATGAAAACATTCAGAATGTTATGCAATTAATCATAAGTACCTCATAACACATAAAATGTTCTTTAATTGAATGCATTTACTTAAAAAATTGTACCTGCTTGTTACAAAACATTCCTGTTAATTTACTCAGGAGAATGGTTGTGTTTATAGAACAGAAAGTTGTCCAAAGTGCTAACAAAAAATACATTCCAAAAAGTGCTCAGTAATTTATTGATTATGCAAAATAAATTGTTTTGATCGTTATTTAATTTGATGAAAGTAGTAAAAGTCAGAACTTTGTTTTAATAAATCAGAGAAAAACTTGAAAAATCATTTAACTAATGATTGCAATAGCTGACAATTGATTCAAAAAAATCTTTTATGTAACTCAAAAATTTGTTTAATTTTGGGAATTGGACGATTAAGTTTATATCTTCTTTTTTGAAATGCATGGTAAAAAGAAATCTTTTGATGATCGATAGAAAATAAGCTTTTGAAAACTACCACATCGTTAAAACATTGTGTAAAATCAGAATTTGTTTCTTGTCGCAGGTAAAAAGTAGGACATTTAGAGGTAGATTTTTAGCGTGGCTATTCACTGTAACAGATTATAAAATGTTTGGTGGTGGATTTAAAGTGTACATAATAGGATTTTAACTATTTTGTTGCCATTGTGTTTCTTTTTGTTTATTAAGATTAATTTAAGCTTGTCTCCATTGTAATTAAGTCCCCTTACATCTCCTGGTTGTTTAAATTAACCTCACTAGGGAATTAATATTTTTTCTTTTTTGACCTAATTTAGATTAATAGAAACAGTTGTAAATACTTGTTATATTGAGCAGAAAATTTAATCCTATTAACCAATTTGTTAACTTTCACCATTTAACAAGAATTAACCGTTTATCCAGCAATAAATCCCTGTGGCTTTAATTTTTAGAACCAGTTGTCTTTCAAAGAGTATTTTTACAGAATTTTCAAAAGTTATTATTATTATTTGTTGTTGTTGAATTATGATTACGCAATTGTTTATTTTGAACCAGGAGGTGCTAGTATTTCAACCATTTTGATATCATGTGACCAAATATGTTCAGGTTATTTCTTGTTTTCAAAATTTGGTGCTAAGATTATGCTTATTGTTAAATTCTGTCTCTTCATATTTATTAACAAGTTTAATTCGTAAATGCAGAATTTGCATCATCTAACAAAACATACTCATTGTGCTAACTAAAGAAATTTAATGGTCACATACAATTAGACTGAATGATATCAAAATGGTTGAATGTACATTACTGCTCCATATGGTTATTTTTATATGAGTAGAATTCTATAATATTGGGCTATTGTAGGTGCTGTGCCTAAAATCAGGAGGGCAGTCGAAGGACTTAGAACGCACCCTTATGCAAGGGTGACACTTTCATAATAGATTTAAGGAAGGTTAGTTTTACTATGTTATGACCTTGGTTATGACCTTGGATAGGAAGCATGAAATCTATTGAAAAAAAAATAGGGAAAGTAATAAGGCCACAAGCTTTTTATTACTCTCTTTTTTTTCACAAAATGGATATTTTATGCTTCAGTATTATTGACAATCAGATTTGCATGTCCCTTTTGTAAGGGAATGGGAACATTAAGTATTCCCCTTCTTCTTCCATCCTTTATTTGGAATATGATTATAATTGGAATGATACAACAAAAAAAACAACCAAAAATCAAATTGCCCTTCCTGTGTTATACCTTTTGATGATGCCATATTTTTTATTTTGTCATTTCAAAAATGACTGCTGAATGAATTCATCTGTTGGAGGCAGGGACATGGGTTTCAAAGAAACATTCTTCTTTTATTTATTTGCAATTAAATTATTTCATGTTTTATTTCTACCGAAAAATATTTATTATTATATATATATATATATTTACATTTTACGACTTTTACTAGATATTTTTTATTACAGACTATCCGTGTTATGTGGCGTACTTCTCATTTTCCGATTTAAGGTTGTTTTTCTGTTAAATGAATGTGTACATATTTTAGTGGATTTGAAGTGTATGATGTATAAAGCTCAAAATCAAAACTCGATACCAAATCATTGGTTTCAGACAGGAGAAAAATTTCACTGCCCATTTTTCCTCATCATGGGTGACAAAAGAATTTCTTCAGAATTCATTTGTGTGATTGTAGTTTTGAGGTTTTATCAATATAGGAATTCATGGGTGATTTTTTTAGTGTCTGAAAGCATGCATTTAGAAAGTCTCAGGAAAAAGAGCATTTATCAAAAGTATTACCACTGTTGCAATATTCAGTGTTGTGGTGTGTTGTGTTTAATTCAAACAATTATTAGGCTGTATTGTTTAGGTGATAGAAATTTATTTTCCCAATGCATACATAAAATATAGTTTTAAGTAGTTTTATTTGACACGAGCTGTGACCTTTTTAACATCCAATCTTACAAAAATATCACTCAAAAGTTGTCCCGGTTTCATTGTATCTTAAGATCAGTTTTTTAATGTCGATTTTTCTGTTAAAAAAGTCCATCTAATCTTGACTACTGTTGAACTTAAATTGAGAAATTCAATCTAAACACTACAGTCTTTTGTAGTTTGAGTGTGGTGTATACATGAACATTCCATATAATTCGCTCAATTAGCATTGATGATCAAAATGTTGTACAGATTTATGTTGAATGTTTTAGCAAAGACTTGATTTTATTGTCGAACACGTGTAAAACGTGCAATTGTTATACATTTTTACATGTTTTTATCAAATAAAGAAAATTTTGAAAAGAAGTCTGAATTCATTCTGTAAACACAAGTATTGAAACTGTGAAGAAGTGGCAAGCTTTATGCATTGCTGTTATAATACAAGAAAACAAGCTTCCCTAGCAATCTTCCTACAGGGGACACAAAGACAAATAATGCTTAGCTTGGTATATTAAGCTTCTCAAGTATTAGGGTTATATTGTAATAGAAATATATATTACTGAAACATTATGTTAGTAATTAAGAAGTTTAAAATACTGCAATGACACAAAAAGTTCAGAATAATTCTTATGTGCATGCCAAGTTTTAAACTTCTTAAAGACAAAGAAGTTCAAAGTTTAATGATGTCGAGATTTAAATGGCAAACTACAAATATTCTTTAAAAATCTTACGTAGCTTCTAATCTTGTATGGTTCATGGTTATTCTAATACATAGATTTGCACCTAAGGAATTAGTCACAACGTATTCTATAATATACTATTATAGGCTTACTTATCACTAATGTGGCATTACTAACTGTTTAGAGTTGTGCTGTAATAAAACTTTGTGCTGTGAGAAAAATTAGCCAACTTTTAAAAGCTTGACCTTTGACCTTTTGCTTGGTCCCTTCTCTTTTATCCATGGTCAAAGCATGAAAGATCACAATTACCAGATCTTTAAAATTTAACATAATACAAATTTCATTAAATTAATTTCTTTCTGTGAAATTATACTCATTGATCAAGTATGAAACAGTTTAAGAAATCTTACTGCCCTATAAGGCAAGCATGAGATTGAAGAGTCAGCACACTTCTAACTAGTAAGTAGTGTCTTACTAGTGACAATATCCGAATGATTCAGGTAGCTGTATTTAACTAACAAATTTCTTTTTCTTTTTATTTTCACTAAAACTTCAGCTGCATTCAACTAACACAATCCTGGTCACAAAGATCCCATGCCTGATCCGCTTCCACTAGTAACCAGGGCTTGGTAGGAGTTTCTCAGTGCACCCGAGAATTCTCTCAATGTGGTGGGTACCACAGAATGCTGAATAAACACTAACTCGGGTCATCATACTCCAAGACTAACTCAGGACCACAGATTCAATAACTTTTGTCCAGGATTGGTTGAATCGAATCCGTGCCAACAAATTTATCACCAGTTAAGTGCCTGACAAACTAACTGTTGTTGACTATATTGTTTGTAATTATACTCAAGTTTAACATTGTTATGTAAAGAATCTGCATTTATTCACCTCAGCTGAAACACATTGTTATTAACAGAAGTCTATTGTTTATGTATAATGATTCATATTTTATTGTTTAAAACGTAGACATTAGTTTTTGTGCTTTTACTGTACTTTAATCATGTGGTGTCTTCCAGAAAAAGGCTCATAATTGTTCTCAACTATCATTTTAGATATTATTTTCACTTAATATCAAAGTTTTATATTCTGAGATTTGATCTGAATAGAAAGTGAACATTTCTGAGCCTTTTCCTTAATTAAAATTTCTATATTACTATGAGAACAACTTAATTTGTGATATTTCCACAAAATAACCAGTATAAATTGCCAAGGTAACAATCATGTGATGTCTTCTTTAGTAACCAAGTGTATTGCTATGGTTATATAGAATTAATTTTCCCCATGGTAACTGATTTTTTTCTGTCACTATGGTAACAAGCTATTTATATCCACATTTATAGAACAAATCATATCATTATTTTTTGTGAAAGAGATTAACTTTTTTATATATTTTATTTTTTCAAACTTTTGGCAACCAGTACTTAGATATTAGAATCAAAACTTTTTTTATATTTTATTGAAGATGATCGTTGTATTATATTTGTAATTATTTCGGTGCTTATTTGGAAGAACAAATTGCTCCAAAGAATAATTATGATTGCATTTAGGTTCATTGTATTAATGATACCAGATTAAGTATTTGTGATGGCTTTATAGAACAGAACACTGTTTTATTATTGTTTATGTAAAGAATACACTTAAATTAATTCACAATTAATTATTTTCATTTATTTTTGAAAATGTATTATTTTGTTAAATGTGAGAGAAACCCAAAACAATTTTAATGGATAATGGCTTACAAGTAGAAAAATTTGACAAATTAAACCGCTTTTACATTTTACATTTTTATATGAAGTGTTCTATGAGAATAATGCACAGGATTTTGTATAATAATTTAATTTTGTTCAATAGTCATTGCTTCATTAATCAGATATGGATAATAGTCGCTATGCAATGAAAATGTGATTATTTTTTTAACATGTGATGAATCATGTGACCTGTGTACATACTCAGCGAAACAGTTCATAATATTGTCACAAAATGTAGATATTTAACATTAACTTCAAACAGCAGCTGTAGCTATCACTTCTCGGTAAAAATAGGTAATAAAGCCATAGAATTTGTATATTATGCAGTGCTATATGCATCGATATATATTAAGGACAATAAATAAAAATTAAATGAGGGGAAAATATTTGGTAAAAATGGACATTTTTTGAAACATTCTATAGCAATATTTAAACACAATTCAATTTACAATCGGGACTAATTTTATTATCCAAATATGAGAAGAGGTTTTCTTCTTTTTCATTTTAGCTTTATTAACCAACTATAAAAAGAAAAAACAAATGGACATGTTTTTAAAACATCTTCTTTCATGACTAATTTTCCTCATATGCTCTTATGAGAGACCTAAATGTACATTTATTATGTACTTGAGAATTTAATACTTCAGCTGCTGTCAGAAGTACCAATTACTTTATATGAGATTTTTGCTACAAGTGCAATTAATTGTACTCGTGTATTGTACAGCATTATGTAATTGCAATACAATTTACTCTTATATCACCATGTATTAAAAGAACCCACCAGAACCCCACTGTAGATTATAGATAATGTACTCATATATGTATGGCTGTTAAATGCTTAATTCTATATGTAGGTAAAATCTTGTATGATACATATTTTATATTTAGTATCTATCTGCAAATACTACCAATCATTCACTGATAACAAAAATCCTTGTTTTAGAAGGGTAAGGTTGATGATAAATATGCAAAATAAACCCCCTTAACGTTTATGATAATCTTATAAGTTGTAATAATTGCAAGAAGAAGAGTAAGGTTTTGTTGAAAATCTTTTTGCTAAACAATTTTATTGGTTGTGCTTCCATGCACTCTTTGTTTGGAAGGCAACAAGTGGTTGTATATGGTTGTGGAGAAAAAAAATGATATACAAAATATAACAATTGATTGTAAATTACACTGCCTGATGAATTGCTAAGGTTGAAAATAGCAATACACTGCAAATACTTATTTAAAAGAGGTTTGATGATTGATTTTGTTTTATGAAGTGCATTTCACAGCCATACATATCTGTAAACTTTCAGTCATGCATTTCTAAAATATAACTCAAAATATACAAGCATGATCATTTCTATAGCATTTTTCTTGTGTTGATTTTTTTGATACAAAGACTTTTGTTGACTGTTTTGAAGGCATAATATTGTTGTACTAACTATGAATTAAAATTTGTTTTGCTATCATAGAAATACATACCAATATAGTTGAAAGTATTTTGTACAAAAGTATTCAACCATTTGATGATTTTTTATGGCTTTGGATTATCTTCATTTTAATATTCAGGTGGTAAATGATTTTTAAAAAATTGTGAACTTCAGAGAAATTAAAAGCATTTGGAATTTCTGTAAAAATAGATCTGTGTATTTGAGACAGAAAATATTATCTTTTTTTTTTAAAACAATTAAAAAATTCAGTTCAAGTTTTATACAAAAAAAGATACATATGGGAAACATGACCTGTCTTTTAAACTATATGTATCTGTACATTGTCTTTGAATCAATGAGACTTCTCTGATGTTTAGAAAATAAAACCATAAATGATGGTAGTACATGTATGTAAATAGTAAATCCCTGATACCAGTATCCCAGGAAGGTGGGGTGGTATAGTTGTATGTATTTCTTTGATAGATGATTACTGTTTCTGACAGAATAATGAGTTTTTTTTGTATAGTCGATCATTTACTCCTCTCAAAAGATTGGGGAAACATTTGGTAAATAAGAAAGTGAAAATGTTTTCAGTAAATTCTGTCAGTTCAGTATGTTATGTAGTATTTTGAAGAATCTCATTAACAATATATTATGAATACTCCATACTGCCGCTAATCTCTGCTGCTGATAATAAAAAAAAGATGGATTTTAATGTTTTCTGTTCAGTTTTTTACTAACACACTTATTGCATGCATTGTTGACCTGATTGTTTGAGAAAAGAGACATTGATATTCAAGTATGTATTAATACTGGGATCAATTCATTAGATATGTGATAAGATGGAACATTTCTCGTGGGAAAGGGTATGGGGGAAGATTCAATAAGCTTGTGTAACTTATGATTGTCTACTTAAAGCTTAAATGTATAAAAAAAAATCTTAACCTAGGATGAACAGTAACATCTGAAGGGCATTTTACAGGTATACAGGGTATCTACAGGGTATAGATATATATCTAGAAACTGAATACTCGGGACTATTTTGGTCCATACATTTTTCACAGGGGTATGTAAATATTCAAAAAAGAAACGGACCGTTAATGTTTGAATATCAGTGTCTTTTCAAACCAATTGTAATGAAATGAGTTTAAATACTATCCTGTTAATTACTTTGCTTGTTGAATTGATTTGAGCTTAAACTAACCATTGCTCAGTCCCAAGTACTCTCTCAATTTCTGTAACTACACCTGAAGCATGGAGAAACCACAGCATAGCAAGGTAGGTTTCATCTGTCGAATATCTGAACATCTTGCATTAACAATATTTCTAAGCAATAATATAGAACCTACACCTGAAGCATTTGCATGTGACAATAAATGGCAGCATACCCAAAAAACAATCAAAAATTCATTACCCATATAAGTATTGGCCTGAAAGAGAGAGGAAATGATTTATAGTTTAGATAGGTGTTAGGCTCAGAAGGGAATTCACATTTGACATTAATTTTGTCTAATGTGTGATATTTATTTGTACAAAGTATGCAAAGAAAAAAAAATCATAGCCCATAAATATTAGTATATGTAATAGTAAATTTGGTTATTTATTATTAACACATTTCTAACAAATTTAACATGCTTTGAGTGTTCATAATTAACGGCATGACTTTCGAGAAATCCATTTATACACTGACACAACATTCATAACTTCTAATCAAAGGCTCTTAAATGTTGGGTACACATGAGAAGGAACTTTTATACCCTTTAACATCAATATGGGAGGATATATATTTAAAAAGATTTAACAGCAGTAGCCCAAATTTTATTCAAAGCATAAGAGGTGGGACTTGTATTTATTTGATCCTTACGTAGTTCATTGCAATGATTTTGTTAATTGACAGCACAATTCAGTGTTTAATGCTGTCATCAAAGGTCGATATTTTTTGTTTTGTGAAGAACAATCAATGTGCATATGAACAATCTTGTTCACTTTCAAGAAAGTATTTAATGTTCACATGCATAATAACCATTAATTGAACGAGAATGGCTTTAAATGAAACTTGATTTATAAACTTTTAAAGATAGCAAGAAAATTAGAAATTTTCGTGGAACTGTGATATTTTTTTTTTATAAAGAATGTTTTTTTTTGTGCCATTTTCATTCTTTATATCTACATTTGTTGTGTCTTGCCAAAATTTAGCATGTATAGTACATGTCATTCTATCCTTTCAACCTAACAATACTCTATGCTTTTATATTAATTCACAGGGGAGGTAATTCAGTCCCCCGAAAGGGAGGAAACTTTGCTAAATCTTGAAGGGGAGATAACCATGACATTTTGTATGTGTGCTCACTTTGATAGTGATGGTTTTTAGTCAGTATTTTTATTTACTATTGTTGTATTTGGCCATTTTTGTCTTGACATCATGTTGAATCTCATCATGACTTTGATGTGTTGCAAGGCCAACACAATTTATTATATTGAGAGAGATTTTTTTTATATAATTAAAGTAAATTGTAAAAAAAAATATACATTCTTTCATCTCCACTTACATTCTTACTTTATGGCATACACAAAGAAAATCATCTCATTGAATGTAAATACAAACATGTCCAGTGAGATGAAATCCAGTACCGGTACTGTATTTCCATTATTTAGTTTTAGTTTCATAGGCATTTACTTTATATTTCTGGTTAAGATCAGCCATAATAACTTCCAGTAGTATTGTTGGAATGCTGGTAGGTTCATTTCAGTAGCAATGTGAACCCAGTTTTAAATGTGCTCAACTAGGGTAATCACTTGTATGCATTGTCAATGTTACTTTACATAAACTTAAGTTACTCGATCAAACTCACCAGAAAACAGAGAACATTTTCTTCTTTATATTTCTCATTATCAAGGTAAGGATCTGTTTGTTTGTTCATAAAAAAAACAATAGAATACTGAAAATTCTACAAAGAAGAATGGTATCTGAAAGTAAGAGTGTCTGATGATTCAGTTGAGTTGCTTTCTTCAAGTTGCCAAAGCAGGTCTTAAGTACTAAGTTGCTAATGTAAGTCTTTAGTACTAGACATCATCCTACACAATCAATTGAAAAAGTTGAAATTAGGCAACTGCCAAAAAAATGTTAATTTGCTTGTAAGCTGCTTTGTTTGCCTGTGAATATGTTGCAGAATGAGAGACATTTTGTAGGCTAGTCCTGTGGGCAACCGAGTAAACTGAATAAAGTATCTTATTTCAAAAGGTATATACTAACGCCTTGTATTATGAAGTTTCTGACTCGTCTTTCACCTAAAATTCATGGTTCAATGATTTCATACAGACAAGGTATACTCTTGACCTCATTTTTTGGTTCAGCATCATTGGAAAATTTTCCTTATGTCAGTATCTGAAATACTATAGTGTTCTACTTTATTTTGCAATTAGAATGATAGTAAGGTGTACATGTCTAGTTTGACATGGTTAAACTGACCATAACCTCATTTTCAAAGTAAATTTCATACAGACAAGGTATACTCTTGACCTCATTTTTTGGTTCAGCATTATTGGAAAATTTTCCTTGTGTCAGTATCTGAAATACTATAATGTTCTACTTTATTTTGCAATTAGAATGATTGTTAGGTGTACATGTCTAGTTTGACATGGTTAAACTGACCATAACCTCATTTTCAAAGTAAATTGGACAAATTTTCAAAGTAAATTGGACAAATTTTTAATTGCCATGACGTTAAGCAAGAAGGGATCAATTTTAATTTTCCATTATTTTGTCCATTTTTCAGGGTTTTTCTGACCTTTATCTATTTTTATGCCCCCGCCGTAGCAGAGGGGGCATTAAGTTTTACCTTTGTCTGTACGTCCGTCAGTATGTCCCGAAATTGGTTTCCGTTCTCTAACTTTAGTTTGCCTCAACCAAATGTGATGAAACTTATACACAATGCTTATTGCCACAAAACCCAGATCAAGTTTGAATTTGGGTGGCGTCACTTTTACCTTTCAAGAGTTCTGCCCCTTTACAAATTGAAAAATTGCTGAATTTTTCGTTTCCGTTCTCTTATTTAAGTTTGCCTCAACAAAATGTTGTGAATCTTATACACAATGCTTATTACCACAAAACACGGATCAAGTTTGAATTTTGGTGGCCTAACTTTTACGGTTTTAAGTGTAAAGGAAAAATTGCTGAATTTTTCATTTCCATTCTCTAACTTAAGTTTGCCTCAAACAAATGTTATGAAACTTATACACAATACTTATTTCCACAAAACTCAGATCAAGTATGAATTTGGGTAGTGTCACTTGTATCGTTCTTGAGTTATGTCCCTTTATAACGTTATATGCAAGCGGGGCATCATCTGCTCCATGGACACATTCACCATTTATGATTCATCAGTGTAAACTAAGTGTGGTGTTTGTCTGGCAGGTTTCACTTGACCTTTATCTCATTTACAATTATACTCGTTGATAAACGTAAGTTTTCCTGAGCTCAGTTTTAGTTACAGGTCATCTATATGTGTTGTATACAGTCACTTTACGTTGTACATGTTCATTTTTCATGACCTTATTTTCATGGATAATGCATTGGTTATGCTGAGTTTGTGTGAAACATGTGGTAAGACCTTGACGGAGACTCGACATAAAACTGGTCATAATCAGGTGAGACATTTCAGCGTATGCATTCTTGATATATAAATATATAAACTAAACCATTATACGATACAGTTTTCAAGGGGAAATTTTTGTACTCCATATTGAGCATTCAATGTTGTCAATGGAATCTTATCACAGGATTAACAATTTGAATGCCCAAAAAAAATCCAAAATCAGTTAAAAAACCAATGTTTTACAAACTAATAGAACACAAATATTTGTATTTGGTCGGAGCTTTTACCTCTATTTGCTCTGTATTTGGAATAGTCGGAAGTTCTTGTTTAGCTTTTCGAAATGTTTGAAAGAGAGTTTTCCTCAAGAACTAGGGAATCTTGTTTTCTCGGGGCTATTGTAGAATTTTCTTTGAAAAAATCATAACACACATACTTTTTATGCCCTACCTACGATAGTAGAGGGGCATTATGTTTTTCGATCTATGCGTCCGTTCGTTCGTCCGTCTGTCCCGCTTCAGGTTAAAGTTTTTGGTCAAGGTAGTTTTTGATAAAGTTAAAGTCAAATCAACTTGAAACTTAGTACACATGTTCCCTATGATATGATCTTTCTAATTAGAGTTTTTACCCCAGATTTACGGTCCACTGAACATAGAAAGTGATAGTGCGAGTGGGGCATCCGTGTACTATGGACACGTTCTTGTTATGTATTTATTTCAATATTTTTATTTGTAAGAGGTATACTCGAATGAAAATATTCGAAAAATCATACCAGAACCTTGTTATACTAGTATAATACAATAGTGCACATGTATGCTGAAAGTTTTGATTATCAAGGAACCGCCTTGGTGGCAATGTGCTTACCTCGAGTGAAGGTCGTTGGTTTTATCCCTGCCAGGTCCAACCAGTGTTTGCTGCTCTGCTAAGCACGCCTTTTAAAGGAGTCGGGAGTAGAGAATGGTAAGCTCGGATTGAAAATAATGTGTCCCGGTAGAGTTGCATTTCTTTCTGCAGACAACCTGTGAACTTTATAAAAATCTTGCTACAGGTTTCAACTGAACTTAAGAGTTACATTACCAATGATCCGTAAAAATGAATACAAGGTCAGACGGACATGACTATTTTTTTGTACACCTTGCATTCATTCATTACACCGAATATAATGGTCCAATTGTTGATAGGATCTGAGAAACGTATCTAATAATCAAAATTGACCAACGAATTGAGATGAAGGTCAGATGAAGTCTGCCAGACGCACATATTTGCTTTGCCATGCTTCTTTATACAAAATATAGAAATTATGCATGATTGAAATTCCTAAAAGAAAACCCACCTCAATTAGTCGCTGAACCGGCCATGAAATGGGGTCACGGTCTTATGCCAGACTAACTTGTATACATGATATGAAATATGCAGGTCTTGTACCTTCTTAAAAAGTTTTATACTAAAAATAACAACCCTCTGTCTCATCCTGCCAAATTTATCGCAGGCGAGACAAAAAGGAAATGTGGTGTGATTGCCAATCAATCATCAATCGGAGACCAAAGAACAATGACGTGTACAATTACAGGTCACCGTACGGTCTTCATCAATAAGCAAAACTCATACCTTAAAGTAATTCTAAAAACACTAGGATCACAAAATTTGAAACTATTCGAATGCTCGAAAGATACTAAAACAATTATGGCAGACAACAACCAATGATAACCAATGGATGCCATGCCTCATGGAGGATGTGGCGGGGATTTTAGCCTGTTTGTGATCGATCAACCCTCTTTTCGGACCTCGGACAGTTGTGTATCAGCACAAAAAAGGAACACAAAAATCAGTTTAAAATGGTTTGACTCATGTGGGTATTTAAAGTAAGCAACAACAAAAAATCTACACAGTAACAATGCGGTCCATGTTTGGTTTGTAAATTGTACATACATGCACAGGGAATTGTTATTCGAATTAACTTTTAAATACTAGTAATTGAGATATTGCTTGCCAAATGATGTAACTTTCGGATGCTTTTTGTCTCGCCTAGATTCCCGTCAGATAGGGTTAATTGACCCTGGCCTCTTTTCATGGATCATTGATCAAGGTTAAAGTTGCATGATAAGGTTCGTTTCTCAGAGGAAATATATTAACTATATGTGATGTATGGAATTATTGTAAGGCCCACATTCCTGGCATGTGGCATATAACCTTGACCTCATTTTCAAGGTTCATGGCTGAATGTTAAGTTTTCATGGTTTGGTCTGTTTCTTGGTTGCTATAAGCAATAGGTCAACTATATTTGGTGTATGATTGTGCGGTGTACAGGTCTGTCGGGCAGGGTTTATCTGACCTTGACCTCGTAGTCAAGGATCATTGATAAATGTTAAGTTTATGGAATATTTGTAGTGAAACTCTATTTTTAAGAATTTCAACAGAAAACCACTCATGGTCAGTAAAGCAGACATTTGATCGTGTGTACTCTTTGTTATTTCCTTTTCTTTCTAGAGAAAGCGTACATTTGGGGTTTTCTTTGACACTGAACCTTTCAATTGGAACCAAAAAGTGAAATGACCGAAATCGTCCCGGACGACTCCTTATAGGAATTAATGTTCTAAAATGACGAGTTTTACCAATTGTTTTTCATTTGTTTCATTTTATCTTGAAAACTATAAAAGATTTAAAGAAACTTTAAAAAGCAAAAATGATCAACAATACAACATAAAAAAATGAAATATATTATTGTCTATAATGTTGGAGAGGGACATTGCTGAAGATGCACTTACAGACCCAGGTGAGTGACACAGGCTCTTTAGAGCATATATATATAGTAGATCTATACTGTTATGATATAAAATTGGCCTTTCACCAATCACACACTGCAATTAGTAAGACTTTAAAACTCTTTCAATTAAATGTCAAGATGAAGATTGAATATAGAATGAATTTAGAAATGCAATTGCTGGCATAGTA